CAGGGCCAACATGACTCCAGATGAGATAATGGAATCGGAGGCACCTCGTTAGGGACACGATTCCCCAGTAACTCAGGAGCCTCCTGACGAGGCGGACCTCACCGGAAGGAAGGAAATGCGTGCCCATAGACCCCCGCCCTCACCGGAGCGGCCGTGTCCCCGCACAGCCATCGTCTGGACGCCATCGGTGTCAGAGTTAGGCCCGACCTCAGGCGGGCTGGGGAAGTGGGAGCCCGCTCATTCACCTCCTTCGTCCTGGACATCATGCCTTCGATGATGTGGCCGGAGGATCTCCTTGCGCTGGGTCCTGCCGACGCCAGGACCTCGGAGCAGACTGCACGTGGAGGGACGGACAGGAGGGGCTTGGGGAAATGCCGCTCGCTGCGACCTTGGCACTGAAGGAACCGGCTGAGGGGAGCCTGGCTCACCGGTGATGCACCGAGGGTGTGGGGTGTGGGGCGGGGCAGGGGCGTGAGGCAGAGCAGGGGGGACTGGGCAGAGCCGGGGGGACAGGGCAGAGCTGGGGGGACAGGGCAGAGCCGTGGGGACAGGGCAGAGCCGGGGGGACAGGGCAGAGCCGGGGGGACTGGGCAGAGCCGGGGGGACAGGGCAGAGCCGGGGGGACTGGGCAGAGCCGGGGGGACTGGGCAGGCGGCCGGCCGCTGAGGGCGCCCGGGGCAGTGCCCGGATGGAGAACAGACTGCCTGGCTGCAGACAGCAAGCGGGAAGCCAGGGCCACAGCAGGTGTACACGCTGACCTTCACCTCCAACGTGACCGCCAGCGAGGGGCCAGGCCCGGGGCGGGCTGTTCGGTTCTTCACCCGATGGGAGGTGTCACCGTTTTAATTCCGTCCCGTGCTGTTCCTCGGGGGGCACTGAGTAGTCTGCTGTGCCCGCCCGTCCTGGCCAGGGAGCACCAGTTCCAGTCCTCCGTCTGGGACTCCGCTCCCTGACACAGAACCGGCAGCCTGTCCCTTCCTGGGTGCCAGGAGCATCCTGTGTTCGGAGAAGGGGCTCTGGGTGGACCTGGGGAGTGGGGGCGGTGCCAGGAAGACCAGCCAAGCTGAGAACGGTGGCATTTCCGGCCCCAGGAGAGGGCGAGGGGCTGGGGAGGAGGGGAGTGTGATTGATCACCAGGAAGCCTCCACAGGATCCCGACCATGGGGGTTCGGGGCTGCCAGGCTGGGGAGCATGTCCACAGGCCGAGTGACGCACCCCAACTCCACGGCCGGAGCTCCTGAGCTGGGGACCCTCCCACCCCTCACCCTGAGCCCCCGCAGCCGGCTGTCCCTGTGTGCTTTACCACGTCCTTCAATAAACTGGCAGTGGAGTCATGCTGCCCTGAGTTCCGGCAAAGGAACCACCTGCAGGGGGCGCTGTGGGGCCTCGGGTTCATGGCCACGGCGGCCAGAGCACAGGGGACGAGCTGGGTTAGGGAAGGAGGGAAAGACCTGGGGGCCTGGCTACAGGGGCATTCTGGGTGGTTTTGTGGAAAGACAGGGACGACAAAGAGGCGACACAGCCCTGGCCGGTGTGGCTCAGTGGACAGAGCGTTGGCCTGGGGACCTAAAGGTCCCTGGGTCTGATTCCGGTCAAGGGCACGGACCTCAGTTGCAGGCTTCTCCCCGGCCTGAGTCCTGATCAGAGCACGTGCAGGAGGCAAGCAAGCGATGTGTTTCTCTCACATCAGTGTTTCTCTCTGTCCTGCCCTCTCTCTTCCACTCTCCCTAAAAGCCAATGGAAAAACATCCTCGGGTGAGGATTAAAAAAAAAAAAAAAGAGGTCACACAAAGTAAATTATTTAAACAGAAACAACGCTCTGTTTTTCGAAAGCGGAGGAGAGCGTTTCGGGAGAAGTCCGTCCGGACGTGGGAACGGCTTCCAGGGGACCCTCGTCCAGGCTTCCTGATGGCGCAGGGACGGGCGTGTTTCCCCCACGGGCTCCGAGGCCCCGGGAGGCGGGCGGGCTCAGCAGGGAGGAGGCGCCTGGCCCCCACACACGTGATCGAGGACGGGGCGGGAGAAACATCCTCCATCGAACCACCGCTGCCCACCCGGCCGGCCGCTCAGTCTGTGGGAAGCCGCCCACTGCCTTCATGAGCAGGAGGGGTGGATGGGGAGCCGGAAGGCTGGTGGACCCTGAGCCCTGGCAGAGGCCAGCGCTGTACATCCACTGTTTAGTCTGGTCGCTGAAGCAACTTCCCCACCGGACAGTCCTGCAAACCCTTGCTGATATGTCTGCCTGCTACTGGAGATTGCCTGCCTGAGGGCTACAGGGGTGTCCTCTTGAGTTGGGCTCCCGCCTGGTCCCCCAATATTTCCAAATTGTTCTTTCTCGTCCCGTCTCTCTCACTGGCGTGCGGCCCCTCTTCCGGAGCCCGGACCCCCCCCTACCCCCCCCCCCCGAACCAGGCGGGACGTGGGGATTCACACAGGTCCGCCCGGCACACACGTGCTGGGGCCTGCACTTCCTCTCAGCACCACACCAGCTCGGTCACAATCAATCCCCCTCCCCGGCCCCCGCGCCTCCTCTGAGACCGGAGCATGACTGACCTGCCGGCGGGAGCCGGGCCGCTGGGGACACTGAGTCACTCCCCGTGTGATCGATGAATCAGATCCATCAATCGGGCAGGAATTACTCAGCCGCCGGGCGCCTGACGCATCCGCTGCAATGACATCACGTGCCAGCGTCCCTCTGGCAGCTCACCCTCCGCTGCTGGGAAGTGACGCGGAGACGAGGCCGTTCCGAGGCGAACGCTCCAGGCCACTGAGCACGCTCCAGCACAGGAATGCAGCCATCTTCTTCTTTTTAAAAATGTATATTTTATCGATTTTTTACAGGGAGGAAGAGAGAGGGACAGAGAGTCAGAAACATCCATCAGCTGCCTCCCGCACACCCCCTACTGGGGATGTGCCTGCAACCAAGGTACACGCCCTTGACCGGAATGGAACCTGGGACCTTTCAGTCTGCAGGCCGACGCTCTATCCACTGAGCCAAACCGGTTAGGGCAGGAGTGTGGCCATTTTCTCATGTGATCACCCCGTTCAGGGAGGCGGTGCTGGACACACAATTCCACAGGCGGTCCTCCTGGCATCCCTGCAGCGCAGGGACCCCGAGCAGCCAGGGCTCCCCAAAAGGGATCAGCACCCCCTTACCCCGTCTTCCAGCAACGCCCGGGGCATGGGGGGTGTCAGGCAGCAACACAAACAGCCTAGCAGCCCTGGCGGCCGTGCTGAGCAGCCGGGCGCCTGGGCGAGGCTGATTGATCCTTAACCAGCCAAGGGCCCAGGCCGGGATGCAGGCTCGACCCTCAGTGGGGGATGTACAGGAGGCAGCTGATCCGTGATTCTCTCTCATCACCGATGTTTCTATCTCTCTCTCTCCCTTCTCTGAAATCAATAAAAATATATATTAAAAAAACACAAACCACAGGATCCTTAACCTTCTCCCCTGACCCTGGACCCTGGAAGGGCTTTTCCAGAACGAAAGATCTTTCGTTACAAACCACGGCCCTGGCGGCAGGCACCCAGGGCACCTTGGCGTTCAAACCTGGCTGCCGCCTCCGAGAGGACACGTGCACAGTGTCGGGGCTGCATGTTTTTCCCACACGGAACCGGCCAGGAGCGGTGGGCACAGCCCCCCGGGCACGCCGCCCCTGGCTGCGTCTGGGGCCCGGGACCCCGCAGCAGCCCGACTGGACGAGCCGGGCCGGGCACCAGCACCGGGCTCTGCCGCCTCGGTCACCGTGGGGATGCCACGTGGCGGGGCCCAGTGGCTGAGCATTGACCTATGAACCAGGAGGTCACAGTTCCATTCCCGGTCAAGGGCACAGGCCCGGGATGCAGGCTCGACCCTCAGTGGGGGACATACAGGAGGCAGCTGATCCGTGATTCTCTCTCATTACTGATGTTTCTATCTCTCTCTCTCCCTTCTTCTCTGAAATCAATAAAAATATATGAAAAACAAACAAACAAAAAACAGAAAAAAAGAAAGCCATCAGTGGTTACCTCCTTAACCTTCTCCCCTGACCCTGGACCCTCCTCGCTGGCTGCCCGCCCTGCTCCCTCCTCTCGAGGCTCCTAAGAGTCGTGTGTTCGCCGACTCCACTCCCTCTCCCCCTTCTCTCCAGCACCCACTCCCCTCAGTCTCCAGGTGGCACCCACACGGTGCCTGTCCATGCTGCCAGGACCTGTGCTGCCATCTGACCCCACGGTCCTCCCTCTCCGCTGCGGGTGTGGTTTGCGTTCTCAACGGCTCCTGCAGACCTTCTCTGGGGAAGCAGCCCTTCAGCCCTGCGCTCACTCTCCTCCTGGGCCCGCGGCCTGAGCTGGGGGCGCTTCTAACCCCGTATCCAGGAGACGGCCTCGCGGTCGGGCCTGTGCTTCATGAGTATTTCTCACAGCAGTGGCAATCTTTTCCTTTTCCTAACACTCTCAAAGAGCACGTTTCTCATGTTGACGAAGTCAGATTTACCGGTTTTGGTTGGTTTGTTTTTAACATGGTTGATGTCCTAAGTATTTGCCTACCGGAGGCTGTGTGTTCTTTTTCCCCTGGTAATTCCGCAGTTTTAACTTTACGTCCAGGTCAGTGTAGGGCTTTGAGGGGAAAAGCCAGATATGATCCGATTTATGTGCTAAGAGCCTGTGCCTGCTGTGCAGAGTGGAGACTGGTGGAGCAGAAGGCAGCCTGGAGGGCAGCCTGGAGGCGGCAGCTGCCCCAATCTGGGCTTGCACCAGGCCGGGCGGTGGCACACAGCAGGGAAGTTCTGGAAATACCGACCAGCAAGGTTTCAGGCATGTTCTTCACTCCTCCCTGCGTGACCCCAGCGGTAAGGAAAGTTACTGCCGTTCTCTGAAGACCCATGTGCTGGCAGTTGTTTTTTTAAAATTTTTTTTATTGGTTTCAGAGAGGAAGGGAAAGAGAGATAGAAACATCAATGATGAGAATCATTGATTGGCTGCCTCCTGCACGCCCCCCATTGGGGATCGAGCCGGCAACTTGCACATGTGCCCTGACCAGAATCAAACCCAGGACCCTTCAGTCCTCAGGCCGACGCTCTATCCACTGAGCCACACCAGCCAGGGCCGTGCTGGCAGCTTTCCCGGAGGCCACATGTTTGTGCAACCCTGCCTGAGCCTGAGTGGTGGCCGTGTGTCTGAGGCGTCTTCACGGTTGTAAATAACCGGGTTTAAGTCTTACTCCACATTGTCCCTCTGTGGCCACACGGTCCCCACACAGCGGCAGCCCGTCGTCCGGCTCACGGGACTGAAAGAACGACACGCCTTGTGACATCGGCGCCGTGTGCTGGGACTCATCCATCCCACCTGGCCCGGCCGCCAGCTCTCCTGACCCGGACACCATGATGGATGGCTCCAGGTCGCTCCGTCTGCCAGATCCACACACGCAACTGCTCTTTATAGAACGTCCGAGCTGTACATTAAGCACAAGACAGCTGACGTACTGCCGGTGAGTTATCACCTTGAAGAATTACATCAATGCAAAGCGATTGCCTTTGAGCCTCCGCAGCCAATCAATGTATTTGCCTTTTTTCTGGAGGGGAGGGGAGGAGGTCATAGGATCATATATATATATGCACATCTTCGCTGATCGCAGCCTGAGGAGGAGCAGAGCTCGGAGAGGAAGCTGAAGGAAGAGCCGTCAGTGTCCGCCATGTGCCAGCTGGCCGCCTGCTGCCTGCTTCTCCTGGCATGCCTGCCGCCGTTCCTCGCCCTCCCTGCCCCGCACTCTGGGGCCGCGGCCCTGCGGCTCTCAGGTAAGCGTCTTCCTCCTTTGCGTTAGGGCTGAGAGCCGCCAGCCGGCTCTTCCTTTTTTTTTTTTTTTTAATTTTAAAAAAACTTTAATGAAATGAGGATGGTATCTCAAATTCCAAACAGGTGGCATCTTACGTGAGCGTTGTTGCCTGGATATTTTTTCTCATTTGTTTCCCCCTAAATCCGTGGTCAGCAAGTCACCAGAGGCCCTTTGGCCCCTTGAGTGTGGCTCTTCCACAAAATACCACGGCCTGGGCGAGTCTGTTTGGAAGAAGTGGCGTTAGAAGAAGATTAAGTTTAAAAAATCCGGCTCTCAAAAGAGACTCCAGTCGTTGTACTGTTGCTATTTGGCTCTGTGGACTCATGAGTTTGCCGACCACGGCCCTAAATGGTCCTTCCCGACATAAACACGCCCACGTGGCCGAACTTCACAGGCTCTCACTGACATCAGCGCTGTGACTGGCTCAGGTGCCTTTCTCGTGCTTGGCTCACTGTCTTTAGTGAAGGCCGCAGGGAGGGCTTGTCAGCCGGTGCTGCACGCACTGCGTGACCCCTCGAGTCTCCATCTCAGCAGAGCGACCCTGGCCGAGGGCTGCCAGGGCCACGTCTCCGCCCCTGCAGGCACTTTCTACTCGCCTTCCCCGTCTTCCCTGCCCTTCCATCCCCATCTATGCTCCATGCCCAGCATGCACACGCCTTACATTGACTGCCTTACGTTGACCGGACTTGACACTGGAAACTGCCGGACACTGATCATTGTCACTGATAGAGAAATGTGAAAAGGGAATCCGGAAGCCTGGCCAACCTTAATGGCTCTGAACGGTCGGAGCTAGTCACTCATTGTTTAGTTGAGACACTGGTAGTTAAAGCAGCTTCCACCTGCTAATCGTATGTAAGTTATTGCTGATTGTCTGTGACTGGAATTTCCTGCCTAAAGGATATGGCTGTATCCCATAACCTCAATAAAAGGGCTAGCAAGGCCAGAGCAGTGGTATTCCTTCCCCTAGAGGCGGGCTCCCGCCTGGCCCCCCCATTTCCCAAATTAATGCTTTCCTAGTCTCTTTTCATTTGTGTGCGGCCTTCTCCAGAACCTGAACCCTGAACCACACAGGATATGAAAGGGGCTCCCACAGGATCTGGAAGCTGGCTCTTGTCCAATAACCACCGCATGGAGCGCCTGAAGGCCTGAGGGAGGCGCGATGCCATCGCCGCTGAATAAAGACCGTAACCTGCTCTGAGGAAGCCAGGCCTCTTCTCCCCTCCCACCGCTCCCCCTGAGCTCCGAGAGCCAGCAGCAGCGTGTTATGGAAAGGAGCAGAGCCACCTCCTAGCCCCCGGGGCCCAGTCTGCCCGGCTCACGCGGCTGGCGGCGCGGCAGTCACAGGCGTTGAGTCAGAACAAGGCCCGTGCCTCCCAGTCCGCTGTCCTGCAGCCGGCACCTGGGCTGCAGCCCTTCTGCTCATGAAACCCCACGAACGGCGGCTCAGCCTTGGTGGTGTCTCTAGGCCAGTGGTCGGCAAACTCATTAGTCTGCAGAGCCAGATATCAACAGTACAGCAATTGACATTTCTTTTGAGTGCCAAATCTTTTTTTTTTTTAATATATATTATTGATATTTAACAGAGAGGAGGAAGGGAGAGAGAGAGCTAGAAATGTCGATGAGAGAGAAACATCGACCAGCTGCCTCCTGCACACCCCCCACCGGGGATGTGCCCGCAACCAAGGTACATGCCCTTGGCCGGAATTGAACCTGGGACCCCTCAGTCCGCAGACCGACGCTCTACCACTGAGCCAAACCGGCCTCGGCTGAGTGCCAAATCTTTTAAACTTAAACTTCTTCTAATGCCACTTCTTCCAAATAGACTCGCCCAGGCCGTGGTATTTTGTGGAAGAGCCACACTCAAGGGGCCAAAGAGCCGCATGTGGCTCGCAAGCTGCGGTTTGCCGACCACGGCTCTAGTATGAGCTCCCTGTCCTGGGCACCCCTTGCCCCCAAGACAATGGAGAGCAGGGGGAGCCGGGAAAGGCACTGCTGGAGGTGAGCTGCATAGCTAACACCATCACTCTCTGTGCAGCGGCCGAGGGCGGCGGGCCGGCGCGGGGCCGGCTGGACAGCGCGCCCCTGTCCCTCCCGCGCGGGCTGCGGGGGACGCCCGGGGCAGAGGCGGCCGAGGCGCTCAGGAGAGCAGGTAAGGGGCACCGGGGCTGCAGCTGGTCTGATGTTTCGGCTTCTGAGCCATCTCCGGGCCCATCGCCCAGGAGGCAGAGCCTCCTCTGAACGCAAAGCTGCTGAAATGAGCAAACGGATCGCCCGCTGCCCTTCCTGGCACGGAGCCCCCGCCACCTCCTCTCCCCCCTCCGCGGCTCCTGGCACCGCCGGCTCTCCTGGGCACTCGGGCATCTTCCGCACAGACCTTCCTTTTGGGGGAGGGGGCATGGTGCGGTTTCTAGTCAGTGCAGTTTAAACCGGGCTTCCCAGTCACTGAATCTGAAGCAGATGACAGTCTGGGCACCCGCTGTCTTCATCAGCAAGCAGGAACGACAGCCACACCCGCACAGGGTTATGGGGAGGAGCCCGGGAGGACAGGCAGCCCAATGGTCAGCACAGCCACACACACACACACACACTCACACACGCACGACACGCACACACGCACATACACACACTACACACACGCACACACGCACGCACACACGCACGCACAGTGACACCACGAGCCAGCGCAGGCTGTGGCAGGCCGCTGAGCCATGGGGGGGTTGTCGAGCCCACAATGCAGTGGCCCCGCAATAAAGCAGGCCACGCAACAGTGAAAAGTGTGCTCCCCCAGGACCGCCCTCGCAGGCCTTGCTCAGTGCCCAGGGCATCGCTTAACAGAAAGGAGTCTGTTATCAAATGTTTTTTATTATAAACCACGGACCTCTAAGTGGCTGGGGACAATGCAGTGCCCGTGAGAGAACAGGGTGTGGGCTCACCTGCCGGCAGGCGAGCACCCTGCGGCGGGGAAAAGGCCAGAACTGAGATGTGCGTGAGGAATGTTCTCGCCTGTGTTTTACGTAAGACCAGCGTGAGACGGGAGCCACAGATCTGAGGGTGACCGTTTCACAATATTGCCTTCCAGATCCCGGCACCAACGTGTATAACCCGAGAGGACACAGGAGAACGGTGAGTGCTGTGAGTGAGGTCTAAATAGGGGAGAGATGCTGACACCGACCCCACCCCCAGCACCAAGGCGCCCTAGCCTGCAGCTCACCGGGGTCCCCGCGGGGGGAGGGGGAGACGCTGCTTCAGATGGAGCTCCGAAAAGCACTGAGGGTGACATCCAAGAGGAAGGACGGGCAGATGGAGGTGGAGGTGTGCAGAGAGGGGGGAAGTGGTGGGGGCAGCAGGGAGACTGTGACTGAGTGGTCAGAAATGAGGACGGTGCATGGAGGGCCTTGAATGCTACAGGAGAAATCTGAACGTGATCATCACCCACCCCTGCTCCAGATCAGTGCTCCCTGACTGCGGACCCCAGTCCCCTGAGCCCGTCCTCAGTGCTGAGCACCGTCCCAGCCCGCTCCCGTCCTGGCCGACCTCTGCACGCGGGCACACGGGAGGGAGGCCGGGGATTCCTTCTCACTCACTGATGACCTGTCCGCTTGTCTGTCTGGTTTGGCTCCAGGCTTCCTCTGGACAAGGCCCTGCCATTGTACTGAATCGCCTTTTGGCCCGAATCAGGGAGCAGCATGGGAAGCGCGGGCCCCGCTCCGAGTGCTTCTGGAAATACTGCGTCTGAGGGAAGCCGCCTGCGCGTCCACTCAGAACCACCGGCTTCGAGAGTCACCCTCGCACACCTTGTCTGGAAGCGGCACAGAGGAAGCGCCAGGCCGCGGCTGCCCTGCCCACTGTCGCTCAGAAAATAAATCCTCTATGTTTTGCAAATATCACCGGTGGTTATTGATTTATAAACATTCTAAAACCTCTAGCTCTCCTTTCCCTCGGCTTTTTAAAAAAATTGCCTGAAAACGTAAAAGTAAGGCTCATAAATGAAAGGAAGCAAATGCTAAGGAAAAGTCCTAAAAGGAAGATAGTTAAAATAGTTAAACTGCAAATCGTTTTAAATAAATGACACCATCTTAGCTACCAGGTCCTCTCAGCCCTTAAAAACGACAACGTAGTTAAGTTATTACTTACAAGACCCACATCTCCACGTGGAAAATCCCCGGAGGGAGGCAGGGGGTGGGGAGGTCACACGCTCTGCCCTGCCCCTCGCTGACCACCTGCTGAACTGGGAAAACCTGATCTGCTGACACTGAACCGGGTTTGATCTCAGTTCCCATGAGCCCAGACCACCCCCATCTGATTCTCACCACAAAGTGAGGTGGGACTTCTTCTGGTTGTGGCGGGGAGAGGAGGGGCCGAGAAACAGCCTGGCGTGCAGGACCCTGTGTTCCAGGACTCACCTACAGAAACAGAAAAGGAAACGTAGCCAGGAGGGTGAGGAACTGACAGCCTCGGGGCCCCACCGGGAGGGGCAGCCGGGCCGCCCCGATCCCGCAGACACAGGGCGCAGAGCACAGCCCCAGCCTCCGTCCTCACCGAGGACAGGCCCGCGGGCTCAGGCGGCCGGCCATGTGGGAACGCCGCCTCCCGCTGCAGCGGCACCAAGACCCTCTCCCGGACCAGAACTTGGGACCACGAGCCGCATCCATGTTTCCGATCCCGGAGAGAGGGGGTTCCACCGACACGGGTCTGCACCTCCCGTGTGGCCACACGGCCGCCCTCCGGACAGACGGGTCCGCGCCGAGCCTGTCCCCACCACACGGCGCCTGGGCGCCTGGCGGGAGCGCTCCGGTGCGGCCCGCGCACCCCGCCCCTTCTCCCTCCGCATCGTCCTCTGCCCGTCCCGCTGCCGGTTACCAAGGCGCCCGGCTGGGGAGTCCTGTGGTTTCAGGCTCGGGTCCTGTTTCAATGTTGAGGTTGTGCTGCCACCGGTAAGTGACACAGACTGGGTGAAGACGGGGTCACTGGAGTAACTTGGTAACCGACTTTATAAACGCGGCACTGATATTAGTATTAACCACGTGGGCACGGGTTCAGACAGATCCATGCCTCCCGTGTAAGGACTGGGAAACGCCAATCATGGGCTCACACCCCACACCCCCACAGCTGACACCCCCATAGCTCACAGCTCACACCCCACAGCTCACACCCCCACAGCTCACAGCTCACACCCCACAGCTCACACCCCCACAGCTCACACCCCCATAGCTCACAGCTCACACCCCACAGCTCACACCCCCATAGCTCACAGCTCACACCCCACAGCTCACACCCCCATAGCTCACAGCTCACACCCTACAGCTCACAGCTCACACCCCACAGCTCACACCCCCACAGCTCACACCCCCACAGCTCACAGCTCACACCCCACAGCTCACACCCCCACAGCTCACACCCCCACAGCTCACAGCTCACACCCCACAGCTCACACCCCCACAGCTCACACCCCCACAGCTCACAGATCACACCCCACAGCTCACACCCCCACAGCTCACACCCCCACAGCTCACAGCTCACACCCCACAGCTCACACCCCCACAGCTCACACCCCCACAGCTCACACCCCCATAGCTCACACCCCCATAGCTCACAGCTCACACCCCCACAGCTCACAGCTCACACCCCACAGCTCACAGCTCACACCCCACAGCTCACACCCCACAGCTCACACCCCCATAGCTCACAGCTCACACCCCACAGCTCACACCCCCATAGCTCACAGCTCACACCCCCATAGCTCACAGCTCACACCCCACAGCTCACACCCCCATAGCTCACACCCCCATAGCTCACAGCTCACACCCCCACAGCTCACACCCCAATAGCTCACAGCTCACACCCCCACAGCTCACAGCTCACACCCCCATAGCTCACAGCTCACACCCCCATAGCTCACAGCTCACACCCCACAGCTCACACCCCCATAGCTCACACCCCACAGCTCACACCCCACAGCTCACACCCCACAGCTCACACCCCCACAGCTCACACCCCCATAGCTCACAGCTCACACCCCCATAGCTCACAGCTCACACTCCACAGCTCACACCCCCATAGCTCACACCCCCATAGCTCACACCCCACAGCTCACACCCCCATAGCTCACAGCTCACACCCCCACAGCTCACACCCCACAGCTCACACCCCCATAGCTCACAGCTCACACCCCCACAGCTCACACCCCCATAGCTCACAGCTCACACCCCCACAGCTCACACCCCCACAGCTCACACCCCACAGCTCACACCCCCATAGCTCACAGCTCACACCCCCACAGCTCACACCCCACAGCTCACACCCCCATAGCTCACAGCTCACACCCCCACAGCTCACACCCCACAGCTCACACCCCCATAGCTCACAGCTCACACCCCCACAGCTCACACCCCCATAGCTCACAGCTCACACCCCCACAGCTCACACCCCCACAGCTCACAGCTCACACCCCACAGCTCACACCCCCACAGCTCACAGCTCACACCCCACAGCTCACACCCCCACAGCTCACAGCTCACACCCCACAGCTCACACCCCCACAGCTCACAGCTCACACCCCCCACAACTCACACCCCCAGAGCTCACAGCTCCCACCCCCACAGCGCGAACCCTGCTGAGAAACCAGCTCCTGGGGGCCATGTCCCCACCGACACACAGACTCGGGGCGAAGGCTTGCCACTCTTCAAGCTTTACATGTTGTTTACTTGCTGTTCCCACTTAGAAAAGACCCGGTTACAGTACTGACAGCCATGAAACACAGGCTATTCACACAGCTGACTGTAGGTCCAGCCGGACCGAGCTGCCCTGTGAGTCACAGGGAAACGTCACTGAACGGAAATCGGTTCGTTCCTGCAGCACCCGGCCTCCTCCAAGGAAACACGGCCCCTGGGCACCGTCTGTGTAAACATCGGAGCCTACAACACCCGTTTTATCAGCAATGTCTCCGTCACCAACAGAGTTCCACACCCGCAGGACCAAGGGTGCGGGCGGCCGTGGGGAGCGGTCACGCCGCCCTCCTCGCACCCCGCGCTCACGGCCCAGCCTGCACGCGCATCGGCTGACCCCCGGTCCACACCGGCCCGGGGCGTGCCCTCCGTGGACGTGCCCTCCGTGGACGTGCCGTCCGTGGACGTGCCCTCCGTGGGGCGTGCCCTCCGTGGACGTGCCCTCCGTGGGGCGTGTCCTCCGTGGACGTGCCCTCCGTGGGACGGGCCCTCCGTGGACGTGCCCTCCATGGGACAGGCCCTCCATGGGACGGGCCCTCCGTGAACGGGCCCTCCATGGATGGGCCCTCCATGGGGCGTGCCCTCCGTGGATGGGCCCTCCATGGGGCGTGCCCTCCGTGGACGGGCCCTCCGTGGGGTGTGCCCTCCGTGGGACGGGCTCTCCGTGGGACGGGCCCTCCGTGGACGGGCCCTCCGTGGACGTGCCCTCCGTGGGACGGGCCCTCCGTGGACGTGCCCTCCGTGGGACGGGCCCTCCGTGGACGGGCCCTCCGTGGGGCGTGCCCTCCGTGGGACGGCCCTCCGTGGGACGGGCCCTCCATGGGGCGTGCTCTCCGTGGTGCGTGCCCTCCGTGGACGTGCTCTCCGTGGACGGGCCCTCCGTGGGGCGTGCCCTCCGTGGGATGGGCCCTCCGTGGGACGGGCCCTCCGTGGGACGGGCCCTCCGTGGACATGCCCTCCGTGGACGGGCCCTCCGTGGACGTGCCCTCCGTGGACGGGCCCTCCGTGGACGTGCCCTCCGTGGATGGGCCCTCCATGGGGCGTGCCCTCCATGGACGGGCCCTCCGTGGATGTGCCCTCCGTGGACGGGCCCTCCATGGGGCGTGCCCTCCGTGGGACGGGCCCTCCGTGGACGTGCTCTCCGTGGACGGGCCCTCCGTGGATGGGCCCTCCATGGGGCGTGCCCTCCATGGACGGGCCCTCCGTGGACGGGCCCTCCGTGGACGGGCCCTCCATGGGGCGTGCCCTCCGTGGGACGGGCCCTCCGTGGACGTGCCCTCCGTGGACGGGCCCTCCATGGGGCGTGCCCTCCGTGGGACGGGCCCTCCGTGGACGTGCCCTCCGTGGACGGGCCCTCCATGGGGCGTGCCCTCCGTGGGGCGGGCCCTCTGTGGGACGTGCCCTCCGTGGACGAGCCCTCCATGGGGCGTGCCCTCCGTGGGACGGGCCCTCTGTGGACGGGCCCTCCATGGGACGTGCCCTCCGTGGGGCGTGCCCTCTGTGGGACGTGCCCTCCGGGGACGAGCCCTCTGTGGGACGTGCCCTCCGTGGGACGGGCCCTCCGTGGACGGGCCCTCCGTGGGACGGGCCCTCCGTGGGGCGTGCCCTCCATGGGGCGTGCCCTCCGTGGTGCGTGCCCTCCGTGGACGGGCCCTCCGTGGACGTGCTCTCCGTGGACGGGCCCTCCGTGGACGGGCCCTCCGTGGACGGGCCCTCCGTGGACGGGCCCTCCATGAGGCGTGCCCTCCGTGGGACGGGCCCTCCGTGGACGGGCCCTCCGTGGACAGGCCCTCCATGGGGCGTGCCCTCCGTGGGACGGGCCCTCCGTGGACATGCCCTCCGTGGACGGGCCCTCCGTGGACGTGCCCTCCGTGGACGGGCCCTCCGTGGGGCGTGCCCTCCGTGGGGCGTGCCCTCCGTGGTGCGTGCCCTCCGTGGACGGGCCCTCCGTGGACGTGCTCTCCGTGGACGGGCCCTCCGTGGGACGGGCCCTCCGTGGACGGGCCCTCCGTGGACGGGCCCTCCATGAGGCGTGCCCTCCGTGGGACGGGCCCTCCGTGGGGCGTGCCCTCCGTGGGGCGTGCCCTCCGTGGTGCGTGCCCTCCGTGGGACGGGCCCTCCGTGGATGGGCCCTCCATGGGGCGTGCCCTCCATGGGGTGTGCCCTCCGTGGGGCGTGCCCTCCGTGGACGGGCCCTCCGTGGACGTGCCCTCCGTGGGACGGGCCCTCCATGGGGCGTGCCCTCCATGGGGCGTGCCCTCCGTGGTGCGTGCCCTCCGTGGACGGGCCCTCCGTGGGACGGGCCCTCCGTGGACGGGCCCTCCGTGGGACGGGCCCTCCGTGGATGGGCCCTCCATGGGGCGTGCCCTCCGTGGACGGGCCCTCCGTGGACGGGCCCTCCGTGGACGTGCCCTCCGTGGATGGGCCCTCCATGGGGCGTGCCCTCCATGGACGGGCCCTCCGTGGACGGGCCCTCCGTGGACGTGCCCTCCGTGGATTGGCCCTCCATGGGGCGTGCCCTCCATGGACGGGCCCTCCGTGGACGTGCCCTCCGTGGACGGGCCCTCCATGGGGCGTGCCCTCCGTGGGGCGTGCCCTCCGTGGGGCGTGCCCTCCGTGGACGGACCCTCCGTGGACGTGCCCTCCGTGGGACGGGCCCTCCATGGGGCGTGCCCTCCATGGGGCGTGCCCTCCGTGGTGCGTGCCCTCCGTGGACGGGCCCTCCGTGGGACGGGCCCTCCGTGGACGGGCCCTCCGTGGGACGGGCCCTCCGTGGACGGGCCCTCCGTGGATGGGCCCTCCATGGGGCGTGCCCTCCATGGACGGGCCCTCCGTGGACGGGCCCTCCGTGGACGTGCCCTCCGGGGATGGGCCCTCCATGGGGCGTGCCCTCCGTGGACGGGCCCTCCGTGGACGGGCCCTCCGTGGACGTGCCCTCCGTGGATGGGCCCTCCATGGGGCGTGCCCTCCATGGACGGGCCCTCCGTGGACGGGCCCTCCGTGGACGTGCCCTCCGTGGATGGGCCCTCCATGGGGCGTGCCCTCCATGGACGGGCCCTCCGTGGACGGGCCCTCCGTGGACGGGCCCTCCATGAGGCGTGCCCTCCGTGGGACGGGCCCTCCGTGGGGCGTGCCCTCCGTGGGGCGTGCCCTCCGTGGTGCGTGCCCTCCGTGGGACGGGCCCTCCGTGGATGGGCCCTCCATGGGGCGTGCCCTCCATGGGGCGTGCCCTCCGTGGGGCGGGCCCTCCGTGGACGGGCCCTCCGTGGACGTGCCCTCCGTGGGACGGGCCCTCCATGGGGCGTGCCCTCCATGGGGCGTGCCCTCCGTGGGGCGTGCCCTCCGTGGACGGGCCCTCCGTGGGACGGGCCCTCCGTGGACGGGCCCTCCGTGGGACGGGCCCTCCGTGGACGGGCCCTCCGTGGATGGGCCCTCCATGGGGCGTGCCCTCCATGGACGGGCCCTCCGTGGACGGGCCCTCCGTGGACGGGCCCTCCGTGGATGGGCCCTCCATGGGGCGTGCCCTCCATGGACGGGCCCTCCGTGGACGGGCCCTCCGTGGACGTGCCCTCCGTGGATGGGCCCTCCACGGGGCGTGCCCTCCATGGACGGGCCCTCCGTGGACGGGCCCTCCGTGGACGTGCCCTCCGTGGATGGGCCCTCCATGGGGCGTGCCCTCCATGGACGGGCCCTCCGTGGACGGGCCCTCCGTGGACGGGCCCTCCATGCGGCGTGCCCTCCGTGGGACGGGCCCTCCGTGGGGCGTGCCCTCCGTGGGGCGTGCCCTCCGTGGTGCGTGCCCTCCGTGGGACGGGCCCTCCGTGGATGGGCCCTCCATGGGGCGTGCCCTCCATGGGGCGTGCCCTCCGTGGGGCGTGCCCTCCGTGGACGGGCCCTCCGTGGACGTGCCCTCCGTGGGACGGGCCCTCCATGGGGCGTGCCCTCCATGGGGCGTGCCCTCCGTGGTGCGTGCCCTCCGTGGACGGGCCCTCCGTGGGACGGGCCCTCCGTGGACGGGCCCTCCGTGGGACGGGCCCTCCGTGGACGGGCCCTCCGTGGATGGGCCCTCCATGGGGCGTGCCCTCCATGGACGGGCCCTCCGTGGACGGGCCCTCCGTGGACGTGCCCTCCGCGGATGGGCCCTCCATGGGGCGTGCCCTCCATGGACGGGCCCCCCGTGGACGGGCCCTCCGTGGACGTGCCCTCCGTGGATGGGCCCTCCATGGGGCGTGCCCTCCATGGACGGGCCCTCCGTGGACGTGCCCTCCGTGGACGGGCCCTCCATGGGGCGTGCCCTCCGTGGGGCGTGCCCTCTGTGGGACGTGCCCTCCGTGGACGGGCCCTCCGGGGACGGGCCCTCTGTGGGACGTGCCCTCCGTGGACGGGCCCTCTGTGGGACGTGCCCTCCGTGGGACGGGCCCTCCGTGGACGGGCCCTCCGTGGGGCGTGCCCTCCGTGGGATGGGCCCTCCGTGGGAAGGGCCCTCCGTGGGGCGTGCCCTCCGTGGGATGGGCCCTCCGTGGGAAGGGCCCTCCGTGGGGCGTGCCCTCCGTGGGATGGGCCCTCCGTGGGAAGGGCCCTCCGTGGGGCGTGCCCTCCGTGGGACGGGCCCTCCGTGGGACGTGCCCTCCGTGGACGTGCACTCAGGAAGGCGGGAGGCAGCGGCTCAGGCACAGCCACGGGCGAACGGGCAGACAGGCTCGCACCACGGGGCGCAGGTTTAAGACACGCACGCGCACTGCAGCGCAGCCCTGACGGCAGCGTGTCCGCTCTGACCGGAAGGCACAGGGACTCTATTGAAGCACAACACCCGGGTGATTAATTTTTAAAAATTGGGTATTTCTCACCAAGGGCAAAATCAAAATACCGCTCACGTTGCCCAACGCAGCAAGGGCTTCAGAAATCACTTAACCACCAAGACGGACAGAACGTCAGGGTTCTCCGTTCACAAAACAGGCATCTTTGTGTGGAACTGCTTCACATTAAAAAATCCCAAGAAACGTCGCCGGAAGCATCTGGAAGGGTTCTGACTGTGAAACACAGAATCACCTTCCAGGTCGACTTGGCAGAGGCTAAGCCTGGAGGATTGAGATTGAGGCCCAGCAGGGTGCATTCTCCTGGTATCACCAGGACGCATTTTATAAAAATGATAAAACTCGGGAGGAGGAGGAAGTGTTTTCCTGAAACGCAATGAAACACACACAGACAACAACCCAAAGGAAAGCAAGTGTGTGAGCCCTACCGTCTCCTGCTCCTCCTGGTCTGCATGGAGGGAGCCGCGCCATCCCTGTCTGAGCAGGACTCGGCCACTTCCCTCAGGAGCAGGAGCTGGCTGACCCGGGACATGGCCACTTGGGCGCACACCCGGCGAGGCCTCAGAGCGCGGTGCCGGCCGCACAGGAGCCCCCATAACCATCCTCCCTGCGCAGCCGCCTCCCCACAGGAGGCAGAGCCGCCAGGCCGGGGCAGGCCGGCCTTCTGTGTAAATGAGCTGGAAAGGAAGCATGAAGTGGTAGTTTTGATTTAACGCATACAAAACCAATATTAATTTTTACAAAACTTTTTACAATCATTTAAAAAAGAGACGTTAGAAAGGAAACAACACAGACTGAGTCAGAAGTTTTTGTTCTAGAACACGTGCGAAGCCAACTTCAACTGTGCAGGAAGGAGCTCGCGGCCAGCGGTCGGTTCTGCGGGCGAGACTCGGGGTTCCGTGGCAGGTGGAGCCCGGGAGGGAGCCTGTGTGAGGAGGGAGGTTCAGATGCCCCTCGGACCTGGGCACCGGGCACCGGGGCAGCACATGCCCAGGCAAACAGGACGCGCCGTGTGCTAGGAGCTCCTGGGCATCTGGTGCTGATTACGGGGAGGCATCCCCTGTGCTGACTGGACACAGTTCAGTTTAGGGACCCCGAGAAGGGACATGGCCATGGGAAGGACTGTCCTAACAGCAAAGCAGAGGCGACGAGGCTGCGGCTGGCAGGCTCTTTGCAGCTCTGTGCTCACTGTCCCTGCCTGTGCTGTACGTGGAGCTTTCTCGAAGCCATTCCATGTCTTCCTGAGATGGCGTCCCGTACGCCCAGAGCAGGAAGAGGAGATGCTCTGTACGGTCTGCTCCGGAGAGTGAGGTCCGTTAAGAGGCCACGAGGAAAGACTAGCGCTCGAAGGCCGGGGGCTCCGAGACGCCCCGGGGCGCTGTGCTCTCCCCCGGGCCACTCGGCGGCCGCCCTCCGGGGTCCTGGCCGCAGGCTCCTCCCTCGTCAGGGCCCGAGGCTCCGTCCCTGCAGGAGGCACAGCCCTCCAGGGAGAACAAGCAGCGGGTTAGGACGGAGCCGCTGGTGTCTGGGGCAGCAAGCCGCTGGCCCAGCACCGTGTCTACTTCCCACGCCCACTCGTGTCCAGAGCGTCCACACGGCGTTCCTCCTCACCAGACGGTGAAACGACAGCAATTTTAAACCTGTTCACCTGCTCTGGGCTCATTCCCCACAGACCCTCTGCTCAGCACAGGAAGCCGGGATTGAAGAGAAGCAGGCCCTGGCGGTGACCCTGCACTGGCCCTCCGCACAGGCGGGCTCACCCCTTCCTTGGAAAGGGGGGCCTCAGTGCATACTCTGGACACCTCCCGTCATTCCCTGTTCTGAGGTCTGACCTCACACATCACCCCCACAGCTGTAACCCCATCTAGAGCCGGCCCCTCGGCCACGGGTCACCAGGGCGGCCTCCTGTGGAGACGCATCGGAGCAGAGACCCCTGGGCCCCGGAGCCCCCGCTCCACGAGGACGTGCTGGGGTATGGATCTCACTTGGGTCTGAGTGCAGACCTGACAGCGTTCCCCGGCCCAGCCCAGCTCAGAGCAGGCCCCGCCCTGCCCCGCGGCCTGCCCCCGGCGGAGGGCGCCTGAGGTCAGGGACACTCGCCCTCCGACAGCGGCCCGTCCACCAGCTGTGGCCTCACGGCTGCTCCTGATGCCGGATGGCGACACCCGCCACGGACACATGGGCATCTGGCGGGAGCTGCGAGGTCCTGCCACGCACTCAGTGCCTCGCCCTCCTGCCCAGGAACCGGCTGGCGCCCCATGGTGCTCACGTGTGTGTCGGCTCCCGTGGGGAGGCTCTGCCTCTGCAGCCAGGCCCGCGCCCGGGCCAGCTCCGCCCGCTGCCCGGGGGAAAACCGCGGCTGCCGCATGCCCGCCAGCTTCTCCAGGTCTTCCCTCAGGACGACGTCCGGAGCCCTAGGACAGAAGACACACAAGCGTGTGAGCCTGAGGAGGCCGGTGCTTGCCGCCCCCAGAGCGGCTCTGCCTGTCTGCTCTGCAAGCGCCATCGCTGTGAGTGACAGCACGCTCAGCACCCGCCCGCTCCTCTGCCCGGACTGCAGCCAGACCGCCTCTCGGGGAACAGAGGGTGATGGGAGCCCTCAGCCCCTCCACTGTGAGCGGAGACACCCCCTTTGAAAAGGGGACACCATGCCGCCTGCGGAGCACTGCCTCCCGCTGCCCTCCTGCCTCCCGTTGCCCTCCTGCCTTCTCATCCCCCCGCCCTGCCCTCCTGCCTCCCCCCTGCCCTCCTGCCTCCCGCTGCCCTCCTGCCTCCCCCTGCCCTCCTGCCTTCTCATCCCCCCGCCCTGCCCTCCTGCCTCCCCCCTGCCCTCCTGCCTCCCCCTGCCCTCCTGCCTCCCCCCTGCCCTCCTGCCTCCCCCCTGCCCTCCTGCCTCCCCCTGCCCTCCTGCCTCCCCCCTGCCCTCCTGCCTCCCCCTGCCCTCCTGCCTTCTCATCCCCCTGCCCTGCCCTCCTGCCTCCCCCTGCCCTCCTGCCTCCCCCCTGCCCTCCTGCCTCCCCCTGCCCTACTGCCTTCTCATCCCTCCGCCCTGCCCTCCTGCCGTGCGTGCACCACCACCGTGACCTCTGGGTCAAGAAATGGTTGGTCATGTGACTTCAAATGAGAATTTAGGAACGCAGCCCCAGGGTGTGTACAGAACAACTCACAGCCTGGGCTCTGCCGCGCGGAGAGCGTCAGGAGCCTCACCTCGCGGGCACCTGGTAGGTCATGAGGACACGCTCCGGGGCCCGTGCGATGCTGCCACACACGGACTCCTCGGCTCCGCGGGGGAGGGTGGGCCTGTCCCGCACGTCCCCGGGCTGCGGCCCGGCGGGGGCAGCCTCCGCAGCATCCTCACTCCCCGAGCCGGGCACGCTGCTGGCACCGCTTCCTACCAGAACCGACACGGCACACGTCAGACACGACTGCCGGGCCTCCTCCCCACGGCCCTCGTCCTGCACAGAGTCCCCGGCTGCCCGCCTCCTCAGCACCGGCCCCACCGCCCAGTGTCCGCTCACAGCCGCGGGCACTTCTCCCAACGGGCACCAGGACACCAGCCAGGATGGGCCATGTGCTGGACCATCAAGTTTCAGCAAATTGTAAAAAATATAAGGAATGTGTCTGTCTGCAATTAAGTCAGAACCCAATAAACTATCTAGAAAAATTCCAATATTAGGTAATTAAATAGTTTATATTGACTTATGGTCAAAGAAGAAAACACAGGGGAAATTAGAAAATGTTTTAGACCGAATGAAAATAAAAACCTGAGGGCTAGTAAAGCAGTGGTTGGAGGAAGGGAGAGCATTCAGTGTTCGCATCCAGAGGAAAGACGGTGACTAATCAATAGTCTGATCTCCACCTTAAGAAATCGGAGAAAGAGCAAACAAACTCCGACTTGAACAGAAGCGAACAACAAACTTTAGATCAGAAACCGATGAAACACAAAACCATTAACACCAGGGAGAAAACCATTAAACAAAACCATTTCTTTGAAAAGTAATACAATTGATCAGCAGAGAGTCAGATAATCAGCAGTAAGAGCACAATGGACTTGACAGACGAGTAAGAGAATACTACCCACAAGTTCATGACGATAAAATCCCACAACTGGGACGAAATGGACAAAACCTGAAGCACACAAGTTCCCGAAGGCTCTCCAGGGGAACGAAGAAGCTGAGCAGGCTTCTAATAAACAATCAAACCAGTAACCAGCACTTCTCACAGCAGGTGCAACAATCCTTAGCGAACCAGTAGGTATAGAATATAGTAAAAAGGTAAAACAGCATGACCCAGTACAAGGTGAACTTAAGATTTGAAAATTAATTAATATAACTCATTATGTTAATAAAATAAGGAGGAAAAAAAATATCGAGTTATCTCAATGGGTGTAGAAAAAGACCCCTCAGCAAGTGAACAGCAGACAGGCGAGTCCTCCATCGCACTGACAGAGAACATGAAGGAAAACCACGTGACGTCACACTCAACGGCGCAGCTCTGTGAACAGGCAGCGATGATCTCGCACTGCACGGGGTCCTGCCCGGCCAGCACGGCCAGACAGGAATCAAGGCGTACGGATTCGCAGGGAAGGAGGGAGACTGGCCTTGCAGACAGCAAGACTGTCTTTGTGGAAAAGTCCTGCAGGATCTACAAAAGAGCTACAAAAACTAATAAACGAGTTTAGAGAGATTGCAGAATGTGAAATTCAAAATCTGATTGAATTTCTATATGCCAACAACATACTATTGGAAACTGAAATTTTTATTTTTAAAAAAAGCATTTTTATTGATTTCAGAGAAGAAGGGAATGGGAGAGAGAAACATCAATGATGAGAGGGAATTATTGATCAGCTGCCTCCTGTATGCCCCCCACTGGGGATGGAGCCCACAACTTGAGCATGTGCCTGACAGGAAATCAAACCATGATCTCCTGGTTCATAGGTCAATGCTCAGACATGCTGGCCGGGATGGAAATTGGGATTTTAAAATGTCATTCATGCCCCAGTTGGTTTGGTTCAGTGGATAGAGCGTTGGCCTGTGGACTGAAGGGTCCCAGGTTCGATTCCAGCACAGGCCTGGGTTGCAGGCTTGATCCCCAGTAGGGGACATGCAGGAGGCATCTAATCAATGAGTTTCTCTCATCATTGATGTTTCCATCTCTCTCTCCCTCTCCTTTCTTCTCTGACATCAATAAAAATATATATTTTTAAAAAATCATTCACTACAGCATCAGATATATAAAATCCTTAGGGGTAAGGAGGGCAGTAAAACATGTATGTGTAAGATCTGTGCATGGAAAATAAAAAAACATTGCTGAGAAAAATTGAAGACTTACGTAAAAAAGAAAGGCACGTGCTCCTGGTCAGAAGACTCAACCTGGCAGGTGACACCCTCCCAACACCAGCCCATCGGCTGGCACAGGGTTCGACAGAGCCCAGGGGGCCTTTGCTTTCTGTTGTTTGTAGAAACTGAGAACCTGATTCTATAATTTATGTGGACAAAGGACCTACAATACCCAGAATTATTTTGAAAAGAAGAATAAAGTTGGAGGACTTAACCCACCGGAGTTGAAGACTTACTTGAAAGCTGCATCAAAAGAATGTGGGATTACCCCAAAGCTAGTGCACAGATCAACAGAGCAGGGTCCAGAAGCAGACCCAAACATCTAACCAGTCTACTTCCAACCAAGGTGCCTGGTAATTCCGTGGGAAAAGGCTAGTCTTTTCGTCAAATGGGGCAACAATTGGACAGCCATACGCAAGGCAAGTACATTGACCCTAATCTCACAGCACATAGAACAACGAGCTGAAAATGGACCACAAGTCTAACTAGAAAAGCCACCCCACAAAACTTCCAAAACAGACTATCTCAGTGACTCTCTAAAGAGAAACAGTGGGAAAATATTGTTAAGTGAGGACCTGATCAACTGAAATTAATTATAATTTAAAAAGTATTTTGTCCTTCAAAATAAAGCTAAAAATAAAAGATAATGAAGTGAAGAGGTAAGCCACACACAGGGAGAAATCTTGGCAAAACAAGTGTTTGACAGAGGACTTGTATCCAGAATATAAACAGAGTTCTTATTGCCCAATAAGAAAGTAACACTGCCCCGCCCACCAAGTGGGCAAGAGGTTTGAACACACACGATGGCAAAAAGCACATTAAAAGACACTCAACCCCATTAACCAATAGGCCAATGCAAATTAGAACCACAATGCGGTGCCACTGCACACCCACTGGGACGGCTGGCACCTAGGATGGACAAGGCCTGGTGGGGCCTGGGCGTGCTGCAAACTGGCACTCTCCCACGGGACAGGCATGCAGAGGGTGCAGCCACTTCGGGAAAGTGTGGCAGTTCCCGGTGGTCACCGTGCACGTCACCTCGCTTTCCAGGCGCCTACCCAGGAGCAAAGGGGATGGAGCTGTTCCAGCAGGACTGCATGGGGAGGGCCTGAGAATACGTGACTCAGGATTCTCACGTGGTACCTAACGTGGTGCCTTCTGTTTATGTGAATAAATACACTCTGTAGCCGAAACTGGTTTGGCTCAGTGGATAGAGCGTTGGCCTGTGGACTGAAAGGTCCCAGGTTCGATTCTGGTCAAGGGCATGTACCTTGGTTGCCAGCACATCCCCAGTAGGGGTGCAAGAGGCAGCTGATGGATGTTTCTCTCTCATCGATGTTTCTAGCTCTCCGTCCCTCTCTCTTCCTCTCTGTAAAAAATCAATAAAATATATTTTAAAAATAAAAGTAAATAAATAAATACACCCTGTAGCTTTCTCCCAGGAAACAGGAAACCCAACAGCCTGTCCTCAGACGGGAGCTCCTGGCAGCAGAGCCCCAGGACTGTCCCCTGGACCGCTACCTGATGCCGCAGAGCCAGGTCCGAGTGGGGACGGGTCCCTGGCAGAGAAATGGCTGTTCTTCCCGCTGTTGCCTGAAGCACACTGCTGGGGAGTAAGAACACGAGAAAACACGTTAGCGTCTCGGGCATCACATTACAAACACCTGGGATCTTTATCGTCACATTAAACAGAATAAATGCCAGGGGAACTGAGACGCGGAGCAGCAATTCAGCAGGCCCTGAGGATGGGTCCGAGGCCCTTTGCATATAATTTTGGAGACACTCCCGATGTCTGAGCACCACCACCTGCAACTGAACATGGTGTGTGCTCCAAGACTTTGTCACTCAGAAAAGGTACTGAACTTTTGTGTGTTCTAAGCAGCATCTCGAATCCTAGGACTACAACATGGACAAAACAGAGGCCCAGCAACCTGATCTCACAGAGGACTCCGTCAGTGTGACTCATTTCATCCTCAGAGGGAGCTGGGAAGCACTAATCCTCCCGCTTTTCACATAAGCAGCACAGGCAGGTTACAAACGAGCCCACAGGAACCCGGTGGACAGGTGACGGGCGGGGACGTGGCCCCGGCCTGTCTGACCCAGGCTGTGCTCGCCGGGCCCCGCCTGGCCTTGGCGTTCCGGCAGGCGCACCGATGCCAGGCTTTCCCACGGAGCTCAGTCCTGACTGGACCAGACCGCCCTGATCTGACGTGCGAAGAAGGGGCTAGGCCTTGGAGGGAAGCGTGAGAAAACTGCAAGCTCCCGCTTGGCCTGGCTCCTGCCCCACCGTCTCCCTGGGGAGCTGAGAACCTGTTAGGGAAAGGGGTGACAAGTTAAAGGAAATTGACCCAAAGTCCTCATTTTTGAAAACACAATGTACACACGTGAAACCATGACCCGCCTGCTGTACTGATGATGCAGACAGCCTGCAACCCACTCCGTACATGGCTGTTACCCTGTAACTGTGCTCGAAACATAGCACTGCTGGACTCATGTCTTGTCATGTGGCTTATTCCTGTCTTACCAGCCCAGACCTCAGCTGCAGGTACGCACACACGTTTTAGACGCTTGGATGTCCAAGTTTAAAGGGAAAAACGTAGTGCCATAGAAAACCTGAAGGCACTTGGGGAAACCACACAACACCTCTAAGAAACCAGGACACAGCAGCTTCTCATTCCGCTTCAAACCAAGTGCGAGTTTTGGGAGCCCAGCGCTCAGCCTGCACCATGGTAATGTGCCTCCCCTCCGCCACATTCAGCTGCACCCAGTGTGTGACCCCTGGCCCGGCGCTCTGCAGCGGGTCCTGGAAGCCAGTTCCCCCACAGCTCGCTCCGGACCCACCCCCTCACCTGCTCTGCAGACTCGCAGGACGGGGGCCTGTCTTCCTGCAGCAAGACCAGCTGCAGCGGCGAGCTGCCCCTGGAGCTAGGGCCCAGGCGCCCTTCGCTCTGCGTCTCAGAGCTCGGCCCAGCTCCCCCCCGGGTGGTGGCTGGAGGCGGTGGCTCCACGTCTGGAGCTGCTGCCGGTTTTGAGGGTGGCATCTCCGAAGGGCCTGTTGCTCCCAGATGCACGCATGGAGAAAATGATGGTGTCAACAGAGGGCACAGGGAGGGGTCAGGCAGCACGATGGCTAGGAAAGTCTCCGCATAAGGTGAGGGCACATCTGGGAAAGGCGGGCCGTGCCCCCACGTGGTCATGGCCGGCAGGGGAAACGCGGGCACGAGGTAAGGGGCTTGGCTGGGAGCCACGGCCGCGGCCGGGAAGGCCAGGCCGGGGGCGTGGGGAGCGGAGGCAGGGGACAGGCCCCAGGGCCGTGCGTCCTGCACGTCCGCTCTCACGTGGGGGCAGCAGGCGTCCTGCGCACACTGGCTGCCCAGGGGCGTCGGCAGCTTCTTCCGCTTGTGCTCCCCCTTCTTGCCCCCAGGAGACCGGGCCCGGCCGGGAGAGGAGGCGCCTGCAGACAGAGGGGTGCAGTGAGGAACCCCGAGAGAAGCGCGGGGAGGGCAGCTGCCTCGCCACTCAGCTGGGAGCGCGGCAACAGAACCAACGCCTCAGCCTCACGCGACCTCACCGTCACCCGCCCCCTCCCGCATGGACACGGCCGACACCGGGGCTTGAGGTCAATAGGGTGTGTGTTAAAGACAGGCTACCTCGGCCGTCGGAGCACGCGGCGCGGCCTCTGCCTTCGGGCTGCAGGAAGGCGCTGTAGGGCGGGGACAGCATCTTCTCCCGGAACCGGTCCACGTAGTCCTGCTCCTCCCGGTGCGTGTGCGCCGACAGCGCGGCCGTGGTGAGCCCCCCACGCCGGAACGCCGCTGCGGCCAGCCGGGCCGGCTGGGGGCCGGGCGCCAGGGGCTCGCAGGCGGGGGCCGTGTCCTTGGTGGCCGGTTCTGCTGAGGTGGGAGAAGACAGGCTAATGGTGATTGCTACCAACTGTTTGCACTTATTTTCACCAATTTAATGACCTTTGGTAAGTTTCACAAACGTTACAATAGCTGGAATACAAAAACGTCATCAACTAGCACACACTGTTATTTTTTCTGCCTGTCTTTACACTCTGTACGCCTGAGTAAGTGCTTTACAGCCCTGCAATACTCAATGTGCAGTCCTATAGATTACCTAGAGGCCCGGTGCACACACTTTGTGCCGTGTGTGTGTGTGTGTGTGTGTGTGTGTCCCTCTGGCCTGGCCCGAGCCCTCTTGCAGGCCAGAACCCCTCATTCCTTACTGCCCACCTGCAGTGGCAGTGGGAGAGGCTCCTGCCACCACCACTGTCCTCATCAGCCATGAGCCCGGCTTCTGGCTTAGCGGCACTCCCCCTGTGGGAGTGCACTGACCACCAGGGCGGCTCTTGCATTGAGAGTCTGCCCCCTGGTGGTCAGTGAGCGTCATAGCGGCTGGTCTTTTGGTCATTCCACTATTTGGTCGATTTGCACATTAGAGTTTTATTATATAGGATTAATATCTTGCTTTTACTGTAAGTATCTTTTTATCTCCCTGAACTCTTCAAAATTTTTCTTTTTTACCTTTTAGGTTTTTTTCCCCCCTATAAAAAGCTCATTCCACAGGAATTTGCCCTTTTAAAAAATGTATATATTTTATTGATTTTTTGCAGAGAGGAAAGGAGAGAGATAGTTAGAAACATCAATGAGAGAGAAACATTGATCAGCTAGCTCCTGCACACCCACTATTGGGGATGTGCCTGCAACCAAGGTACATGCCCTTGACCGGAATCAAACCTGGGACTTTCAGTCCACAGCTGATGCTTTATCCACTGAGCCAACCCGGTTTTGGCTACCTTTTAGTTTTTAATCTGTGATGTATTTACATGATTTAAAAATGAACAGGTTGTCTTTAGCTCATTAGCAACGCTACCTAGTCCCACAGCAGTTCCGTCTCTGGTCTTTCCCACCAACGACAGCCTGCTGCCGGACTGCGCTCTCCACCTCCAAGGAGCTAACTCTCTGCGGTGGACTAAGGACAGGCACTGTACACGGTAAGCTCGGCGTGTGCTGCCTGACACTCCATGGAACTAACAAAGATGAGTTAGAGCTCATCCGAAAACCCAATTTAACACGTCACCATCTCTTCACCCACCAAATTATTATGAGTAATGAAAAAGTCAAAAGGATAGGAGGCCGTAAGAAGGAATGAGAAGAAGACATCATCCAAGTACTTCCCAAGACATCATACTGTTAAATAAGGACCGTGCTCAGACCCACAGGGAACTCCCTGCTCATACATATGATCCATTTAGTCCCCGTTTGAAACCTCCTTTCCCGGTCACACCACGTGCCTACGCTGCATTAGTGATTCTAGCCGAGGGACGTAAGAAATACAGCCTACACATATGTACAGATAACCAGCGTGAGCACAACACTTCCCAAAGCTGAGAAGTTGCTACTAAATAAACGGTACGAAGGACTTCCTCGTGTGTGGCGTGTATCTGAGGTCAGAGGTGACGTGGTACCTGGCTCTGGGGGCGGGGCGTGGACCATGGTGCTGCTGTAGCTGCACTGGCTGACGCCGGAGCCCAGGCTCGGCGCCCTGGCCACAGTCCGCGCAGCTCCGCCCTGGGCACCGGCGGACGGTCCATCAGCTGGCACTTCTGGTGGAGGGATGGATGGGACCCGAGACGCGGCTGGGGGGGTGAGAGAGACCGACGGTGAAAAGAAAAGTTCCCGAAGGAAAAGTATGTTAAAGCCTAATGGCTTCCAGACATTTATAACGTAAGTAACCTCCCGGCCATAAAGAGGACCAGAAACTCGGGTCAGTTGTGATTGTGATGAGATGATGGAAGTTGGGGAATTAAAGAGAAGCAGAGAGTAAGGGTGGCTTTGCCGTAACTTTTTACCCAACAGCGAAGGGCGTTCCTGCTACCTTGGACGTGGGCGTTGGCGGCCTTGTGGCTCTGTGGGCCGTCTTCTGAGGACGCGGTGGTGTTTGTGCAGGAGACGACCTTCCTCTTCAGAGCCGGCAGGTGGCAGCTCTGCAGGTACCTGCGAGGACGGAACGAGGGACAGACTGAGGGCCAGATCCCACCTGACCCCTGATGGCCCCCCCTCTGCTGCTCTCACACCGCTTCTGTTTGGGAAACACCGTTCTTTCTTTTCCTCATTCGTGTACTGAGTACATCTGACACGCAACACTGCATACGTGTAAGGTGCCCAGTGCGTACTGTGACTCAGTTACAAAAGGTCACGGTTACTGCCTGCATAGAGCTATTGGTCACCTCCCCCAAGAGGGTGTGACGTCACCGTGTGCTCACCACACTGCTCATCCATCTCTGAGGCTCATTTAGACTCATTGTGAGTCTGTGCCTCAAACACCACTTATTCACCCCCCATCCCGGTCACCCTCACTTCATCCATTTCAGTTCCGCATGGAAGTGCTCTCACAGCAGCGGCTTCCGGTGGCTTCTCTGGTGCATCCCGGGCTGAAGGCCATCATGTTGTTGCAGGAGGAAGGATGCCTTCCTTTCTCCTATCTGAATAACACCTTCCTGTGCACAGACCACGTGTTAGGTCCACCGGCTGATGGGCATGCGGGTTGTTTCCGTATTTGGCTGTCATGGCAACGCTGCAGTCCACCCAGGAGCGCAGATGTCGGGCCAAAACCTATTTCCCGTTCCCTTGGGTGCGGAGCCAGGAGCTGATGCCGAATCCTGTGACAGATTTTAGTTTCTGATGAGCTTCCAGACTGCTTCCCACTGGCTGGGCTGACCTGCGTCTCCAGCAGCAATGTGGAAGTTCCCTTTCCGCCTCCTACTTCTCGTCTCCTCGAGGTGCCCACAGTAACGGAGCGAGGTGCCATCTCATTCTTGTGGCTCCGATTTGCATGTCCACGAGGATTAGTGACGCTGAGCATCACTTCATGTGCCTGTTGGCGTTCACGCATCCTCTCTGGAGAAGTGTCCGTTTGGTTCTTCTGCCCGTTTCTAACTCGGGTTGTGTTTGCCATTGCTGAGTTCTTTACACCTTTCTGACACTCCCCTCCTGGTGGCACAGGGTTATAGCGTGCCGCCGTTCTGTGGCCGCCTTCCATTCTGCTGTTTCTCTGACATGTCCGTCGGGTGTCGTTTCACTTGTTGGTATTTGCTGCGTCCACGCTTTTGGCGTCATTTAAAAAAAAAATCACTGCTAAGCACAGCGGGGACATTGCACTTCCTTTTGTTCATTCGTGTATTGAGTACTTCTTTTCAGACTTGGAAGCAGAGTATCACTGAGCTTCTTCCCCGTTTCCTCCGGTGTAATGCGTGAGGTCTCATGGTTACATGTTCGGCCATGTGGAGCTAATGTCTCTGAGTGGTGTCACACAGGGTCCCCTCTCATTGCTCTGCACGTGTTTCTCCGATCTCCCCAGCAGTCTGCTGAAGGGACTTCCCTTTTCCTATCGGTACTCTAGCTCCCTGTCAGACATTACTGAACACACTCACACCAGGATTTAATTCCAGGCTCTTTATTCTGGCCCACTGGTCGACGTGTCTGTTTGTGTGCCCTTGTCACACTGTTTTTACGATGGTAATTTTGTAGTATGATCTGAAATCTGGACGTGTGGATACCCTGGGTATCTTTTTCCGTTCAGCATTGCTTTGGCTATAGCGGGTCTTCTGTGACTCCATAAAAATGTTAGGGTTGTGTCTTCTCTTCCTGGGAAGAATGCCTTTGTGTGGACCACACTGAAACTGCAGGCAGCTTTGGGCAGTATGGTTGGTGAACATTAAGTTTGCCCACCCAGGAACTAGGGTGTCTTCCCGTTTGCTGGTGCTCCCATTTCTGTCAGCGAAGTTCTGTAATTCTCATTGTACAGATCTCCCGCTTCCCTGGTTAAGTGTATTCCTAAGTATTTTATTGTTTTGATGCTATTGTATTATTCCCTTCTCAGGTGCTTTGTCATTAGTAAAATGGAAAGCAACTGACTTCTACGTGTTGATTTTGTATCCACCACGTTACTGAAACTGTAATTCCAACCGCCTCCTGAATCTGGATCTCCTACAGACAAGTTCATATCACAGCTAACAGCAACAATGTCATCCTTCTCTTCCCATTGGATGCCTTTGTTTCCATCCTCTTGCCCAATTGCTCTAGCTAGGACTTCCAGTGTTATATGGACTGTTGTTACTGACCTTAGAGAAAAACTTTCAATTTTCCTCCAACGAGTGTAATGATAGCTGTGCGTTGTTGTATATGGCCTTTCCTATGTTAAGGTATGTTCCTTCTATACCCGATCTGTTAAGGGTTTTTTATTATAAAAGGATATTATATTTTTCAAATGCCTTTTCTGCAATCCAGGGATAAATTCCATTGGTCATAGGATATAATTATTTTAATGTATTGTTTAATGAGCTAATATTTGGTTGAGAATTTTTGCATCTATATTCATCAAGGATATTGGTCTACAGTTTTCTCTCCCTGTGGTACCCGTCTCTCTTTGGATATCCGAGCAATGCTGACTGCCTCTTCCTGGAGTGCCCCTCATCACAGGTTGGCTTTCTGCGTGGTATCCGATGGCGTTCAGAGGGCTTCTGCACTTTTAAAAAATCCGAGTTCTCTCTTCCTTCAACCTTAATCACTTCTAGAGTCCCATCTTGCACCTCATTAACCATTTCCTCCATCTGACAGGCCACTTCCAATGCCTCTTCCTCTCAATTACTGAGTTCTTCAGTTCCAGAGTTAGCTTGGCTATATTTTGGAATCTTAATCTCTTTGGTAAAGTCTTCCTTCTATCTTTAACTTCATTCCTGGACATGGCATTGCCCTTCTGAGTCTCTTGCGGCTTGCTGAGTTTCCTCCTCACAGTGACTTTGAATTCTTCACCATTTCGATGCCTTTCGGCTGGAATCGGTTGCTGGAAACTGCCATTTCCTCTCTGCGCTCCTGCGCCGCGGCTGCCCATGGTGTGTGATGAAGTAGCGACACCTCGCTTATGGAGACAAGGCCTGGCATGGTCCTCACAGCTCCACTGGCTGGTGATTAGACGCTTTCTCTCATTGCCCACAGGTGGGGCTACGGTCATGGTTTCGGTGTGTCTTACCTGAGCTAAGGTTGAGAGTACATACATTTTTAAAAAGCTGCCGAGAGAGAAAAAGCAAGCCTGGCAGCAGAGCGGGGAGAACTGTGTGCTCAGCACTTGGGCTTCAGTGCGCCCTGACCTGACGGAGATCCTCCAGTTGTGCTGGGGCTCCAGAGGCTGCGGGCAGAACTCTGCCAGAATGCTGGGCCCTTCTTCAGTTCTCTCTCCTGCCTACTCCCCACGGCTTTCCCGCCCTGTCACTGTGGTCTCTCCTCAGAGCAGAGGTCCCTTCAGCTGCAGCCCCACTACTGGGCTGACCCCCTCCCTACCTTCACCCTCCAAGTCCTCTGCCACGAAGCTCACGCCTGCCCATGGCGCTGCCTCTCGCTGCCACGCCCGCGGCCCACGCCGCCTCCCAGGCGCACAGGTGGGTGCATCTCTCGGTGTCCGGTCTGCTGTGCGTGGCACTTTTTACGGCAATGGAGGTCCGTTAGTTGGATATTGAAGGAGAGAGAAAAAACAACTCACGCTCCCAAGCTGCTGACCTTGGCCTTCCCTTTTTGATGAGTCCTCCTCGGCCATCTAGCCTGATCACTGGATGGTTCCCTCCCTTCCCCACAGTCTGGAACTGATCTTCAGATCTTGCATCCTCTACCTTGGACAAGCGCAGGCCTTGTCTTCTCAACCATTCCTTCAAAACAAGGAATGCACCTTCCAATTGTCTGCATCCCCCGGAATGCTGGGCATATCATGGACTGCATGTAATAGGCAGTCCATAGGTATCTATTGATTTATAGGGAAAATCAAGACGACAGCTATTAAACATTACATAAGAGCTCCACAGGGATAATGTACGCTTTTGGCAAAACATGGTTCTCAAAACGTGTGCTTCATACCTGATGACACTGTCGATGCAGTTGATTTGCTGGTAGGATGGGCTCGGCTGATCTTTCCTCAAACCCTGACAAGACTCGGTGTGCACGCTGTTATTTTTCAAGGTCTGTACGGAAGGAGAGGCCTTCTGCTCACCTAAGAGAGAATGGGAGGAAGTACTGTGAAAAGTACATTATTTCTAGGACACTCAGCAAAATTAAATCGCGGTAACTTAGAATAAATATATTCAGTAGCATATTATGCGGCTGTTAACCATGAGCCCAGGTCTAGATGCACTGACACAGACAGCTGTCCACACGGGACTGCATGAAGGACTCCGTTATGCCACTGGTTAGGTTCATTTGTCGCAGCCTCCGCGGTCTTGGGCTTCCTCTACATTCTGGGGCGGGATGAGGTGTACAGAGCCATGGTTTGTAACAAAAGCACCAAAAGCTGTGTACCCACAGCAGAGTAACAAACTGAACATGTCCGTCTCGCCATCTCCCTCCCGCTGCTCCTTTGTAGTCAGTTCCTCCCCCAGTGTTCACACATGCTGACGTTTTCCGAATGGAAGCCTACAGTATGTCATCTTTGGTTCTGGCTTCCTTCACTCAGCGAAGTGCACTGAAGACCCTGTGTGTGTGAACTAAGCCCACGCCTGTGTGATGGGAGTGGTACTCCATCTTGTGGGTGTGCCACCGGTCACCCGTTCACCTGTGAAATGACATCTATGTTGCTTCCTAGTGTCTGCAAGCGTGAACAAAGTGTGATAAACATTCACAGACATGCCGGGACCGGTTTCAGTGTCTAAAACAGCAGCATAGGCACCATTAGTACAGCTTAAATGTATCCAATGATAGTGGTGGCAGACTGAGGTCTGCTGAAATATTCGGCCCCCAAACCACCAGTCCTGGTGCTACCGGACGGCAGGAGAGCAGCTGAGTAAAGCGAAGCCAGAGGGAGAAGGGTTTCCACTCAGAGAAAACACACAGGGGTCAGGACACCCAATTGTGGCCCCACACGCGGCCCAGGCCAGGCTGCCCAGGGGCATCGGCTGGACCAGACGACCAAGGAAACAGTATGATTTAGATTTCACACCGACCCGAGGAGCTCTCTCAGCCAAGACGTGGCATCATGATCCGCGTCAAGAAAGACGTTCACCACGCACTCTCTTGTAGAGAGGAAACCTGACAGTTTCAAGGGGCAGGAAACGCTGTTCCTTCCACTGGCGCCCGGCATCTCCAGGAGGAGGAAGCCTCCGCCCGGGAAGGGAGACACCGGGGACGGGCTTGTTGCAGCCGAGGACGGCCTCTGGGCGCCAGGGGGCGTCACTGCAGGAGCAGGGGTCTGACGTTTCGTTGGGTAACTCGTGCCAAGTCCTAAAATACACCAGCTATTGCCATGGGCCTTGGGGACAATGTCACCTCCACTCTGTAAAAGAGCCACACCCAACAGTGACAGCAACCATTAATCACATTTAGGTGCCCGACATCTATAGTGACTCCCAAAACTGTTAATATTCAGGGAGAAAGATAAAGGGGAAGTGAGCTAATTAAAAAGTCAGTATGACTTGATGTCTACATTATTGGGCTTTCCTCTGCCACATATGGAAGTAGGTTAAATTTTCAAAATGCTGCAATTATCACAACTAAATTGATTCCTTGGAGCCTGCTTACCTATATGTGAGAAAAGGACATGTGCCAGGAAAAATGCCAAGTTTCTCATTCAACTCAGGTCTCGAGCATTCTCCACTTGTTTGCAATGACAGGGGGGATGAGAGTGCTGGCTGGCAGAGAGCCCGCGGGGGAATCTGAACGTGCTGGTGTGTCAGAGTGGCCCATACCGGCACTACCTGCTGACCCGCTCAGCTCTCAGTCCCCCACGAGAGCAGCAGCACGGGGCTGCGGCTCGGTGCTCACACCCGTCCACGCAGAGGCCAGGTGTGGGGGAGGCGGGGACCCTGCTGACTCACCACTGGGCCGTCCTGCGTGCATCCCCACCGCTGGCTTGTTGGGTGATTTGGTCATTGACTCGATGTACAGCTGCTGCCCCAGGGTTTTAATCCTGTTTACACTGGCATAGACCTGCTGCAAAGTCAACTGAGGGAAAAGAATGACATACATCTCAGACATTGTCACATGAACATCCCGAGATTCATGCACAGAACACATTAACCTGCTGGTTCTCAGAACACGTGTAGATGAGAAGCACAGGAAGTGACTGTACTCCGTCCCCGCCCCGGTTCACCTGCACAGCGTAACACACGTCTGCTCACAACATGCTGGTGTGCAGAAAGCACAGTATTAATGCAACTACCGCTTTCCAAAGGGGGCGTTTCCTTTTAGTTTCCCAAGCCAGGGTGGGTGAGAATGGCCGCAGGGAGCAGGCGAGGCTGCGGGTCCAGGGGGCGCCGCCCACTCACCGGCTCCTTCTGGGCGTCCTCCGCCCCCGGCCCGCTGGACTCGCCCGAGGAGGCCGCACTGACATGCTGCTCCTGCGAGCCGCTGCTCCCCAGGCTGCCGTAGCCGCTGGAGGCACGCCCGTGGACCGGCTGCAAGGACACGGGTCCGATTGAGGGGTTACTATCTTGTGGTCGGGGGGAGGGAGGGCAGGACGGGACGCAGCATGACCCACTCGGAGCTTACCTAAAATCATCAGAAAATAAAGACTAATATTTCTGAAACCCCAAATCTGGTTCGTGAGGGCTGATGCTTTTAACCCTGTGTCTGACATGGAAGACATCCCCCTCATTTCAGTCATTTTCAAGGGCAAAGTCTAGTTTTTAATCTAAGCGGGTATTTCTGGGAAAAAAAAAATTTGCTTTAAAGCCATAGTATAATTTTCCTCAATATGAACATAACTTTTCTCTATGCCGAGTTCAGACCAGACAGAACAAATGATCCACACCACAGCCTCATGGACGTGACGGGCGCTTCGTGGACCTGGAGCGTTATCACCAGCAGCTTTTTCTGCTTTTGCCTCATAACCACCAGCTCCTGAGAGAGGCCAGCCCGCCCCCCTTTGAAATGGGAACTGTCCCAAACCCACAAACCCAAGGCTGAGCGCACTGGGGGAGCCTGGAACACAGACTCTTTCTCTCGTTCAGAAATGACTTCTCTGTCTCACCACCCACTGCGACTCGGTTTTGTTGTCTTAAAATGCGTTTTTACAAAATATTCTGTGTACTTAACATAGGAAAATGAAAAAAAAAAAAGATTAATAGAGTTTCCTTTTAAAAAAAAGAAGAGGAAGATAGAAATTTCTGGATCTTTCTTTGCAGCTTATTTTTGGGAAGTGACTTGACTCAACAGAATATTAAAATAAAACACAGTTATGGGAATTTTATGTTCATTTTTTAAATCTCCCCCCTTTTACCTGTAACAGAAGTTTGTGAATCTGCTCCTGTAATTCAGTTATGTCTTTGTCATTACTGTCCATCTTGTTTATCCCGGCAGCAAAAACATCCTCGTTCAGTGGACTCCTACAAAACAGCACATGAAAGTCTGGGTCAGGCAACTCAAAATTCACTTACAGCCCGGCTGGCATGGCTCAGTGGTTGAGCATCGACCTATGAAACAGGAGGTCACGGTTCGATCCCCTCTGTGGGAGGTGCAGGTGGCAGCCAATCAATGATTCTCTCTCACCATTGATGTTTCTCTATCTCTCCCCTTCTCCTTTCCACTCTGAAATCAATAAAAATATATTTTAAAAAATAAAAATACTGCTGAAGCTGGTTTGGCTCAGTGGTAGAGCGTCGGTCTGCGGACTGAAGGGTCCCAGGTTCGATTCCAGTCAAGGGCATGTACATTGGTTGCAGGCACATCCCCGATAGGAGGTGTGTAAGAGGCAGCTGGTCGATGTTTCTCCCTCATCGACGTTTCTAGCTCTCTGTCTCTCTCTTTTCCTCTCTGTAAAAAATCAATGAAATATATTAAAAAATAATAATAATAAATAAATAAAAATACTAAAATTCGCTTACAATGAAGTCTAAAGTGATGTTAAATGTTCCTATAATAAACCTAGGCTTTTACAGAGCAATTCTTTGATCCCAAATACAGAAAATCTGAAGCTCAGTTCTATTCACGAGGTGGAGAAGGCACTGATGGACGAACGAGACGGCCCAGGCTTCTCCTGTCCCTCGCTGCGGTCTTTCTCGGCTGCGGGGCTGTCTGAAGACTAGCCAACCTCGATCAGAGCACAGAGCCTCCTTGGCTACAGGAATGCACCCACACTGCTGGCCTCACAGTTCCACGTTAACCGAGGAATTTTAAGACAGAGATTGCCAAGCACTAATGTCTGGAGCACCTGCTACCTTAGGCTCTGCCATCGGGATGACTGCGTCACACCCCGCGGGGAAATGCGCTGTCCCAGTCCCTTCGCGGCGCGGATGCTCCCATCTACCCGAGCACAGCGAGGGGCCGGCCAGGCCCCAGGAGGACGGCGGAGAGGGGCTGCCTGGCAGGGCGCTGGGCCTTCTGAGGGACAGGAGCCACTGCCTCACCACGCACAGCCGGTCAGCCTGCCTCCTCTAACCCCGAGACGTGCCCGCTGTGCCAAGCGCTCTGCCGAGTGTCACCTCCTCCCATGGTGACCACCGCGCCAGGTCACCAGCTGCAGGGCCTGTGAGAAGGCCCTGCCTCCGGCACGCTGAAGGTGAGGCCCCATTTCCACGCTCACAACAGACATCCCAGGAAGTCATGGCCCAGCCCAGGCACCACAGGCCCGTTGTAAAGGGACCAAAAGGCACGGGGCTGAAGTCCTTAGCTCCGACCCTGGGCCCGGCCGTCCTAGGCCTCCGTCCCAGACCCTGGTACACCCACAGGTAGGTCATCCGACAGGCCTCAGCAGGCCATGCTGGCAGGAAGGTCAGTATTAAAAGTCTAATTTTTAAAAATAAATATTTAATAAAATAGCCAAAGCTGGTGTGGCTCAGTGGTAGAGCATCGGTCTGCGGACTGAAAGGTCCCGGGTTCGATTCTGGTCAAGGGCATGTATGTTGGTTACGGGCACATCCCCAGTAGGGGGTGTGCAAGAGGCAGCTGATCGATGGCTCTCTCTCATCGATGTTTCTAACTCTCTCTCTCCCTTCCTCTCTGTAAAAAATCAATAAAATATATTTTTTTTAAAAAAGATTTAATAAAATAGTTACAGGTAAGTGGAATTTGACAGAAGCTGATAGAAAAAGTTTTTTTGGCTCACTAAGCAGAACTTTAAAATTCTGAAACGGCAAAAAAAAAAAATAATAATAATAACAACAACAATAATCTTACCCATAAGCACACTACTCCACACACAACCAAAAAGTACATTTTATTTCCTTCCAATCTTGTCACATTTCATGGTTAGAGTGTTTTAGACATAATTTTAATCATGGGGTATAAATAACTTTATATACTTTTTACATCTAACATATCAACTTCCCATGTTCTATAACCTCTCTAAAAATTTTTCTTGACCAATATAACATGTCAAGGAGATCCTTCAGTTTAATTAACGACAGACACCTGAGCTACTGAGTTGGCCATCATGACTGTGTTGCAAACACATCTCTTTCTTTAGCTTTTCTGTGTGTAGCCAGGCCTCCGGAACATTCCCGCGGGCAGCATCAGGCTGGGCATCCGCCCCAGGCCGGTGCTGCCTGACGCCATGGAGGAGGGGAGGGAGGAACAGGACCGGCCAGAGGGAGCTCCTAGACAGCATGGGAGGGTGCACTCACGTGCGCACTCTGTGCCGGCCCAGGACCAAGGCCACCTTCCGGCTCCACGGGTCCACGCAGCTGGCCCAGCTGGAGTCCAGGGTGACGTAGTCGCCGTTGTGTGTGCAGAAGCGGACGGGGCGGTGCTCAAAGGGGGCGTGGCCCGCGAACCGCAGCACTGCAAGCAAGAGGACGAAGGGACTTACACGCAGGACAAACGTCATCATCGGGCAGTAACGCATCCACGATCAGAATGTCAGGAAGAAAAACGGTGTTAGCAGTTTCACACACGGCTCACCAGATGGAAGAAAAGGTCAGCTCTAACAGGAAATGGAAGAAGAGTGAGGTCAACGACGAAGAATCTCCGCCCTGAGCCGCAGCCTCACCTTTCTGGGGGACAGCGACCATCAGCGCGCGGTCTTCGGGGTGCAGGTGCGTGAGGATGGACGTGCCGACCAGATCCTGCGGCAGGTACCCCAGCAACGGCACGGCCCTGCGCAGGCCGCACGAAAACACTCCTCAACTTCGTTTTAAACACAGGACACAGCTACGCAAACTCTAAGGGCGGCGGTCACATGACCTGAGAGAGGCGGTCAACCTCATCGAAACCACGCAGGGGCCTGCCGCAGGGGAACAGGCAGAGCGGGGGCCAGACCGGAGCCTGTGTATTTACAGGTTCCTCTGAGGCCCCGGGGCCCTCCATTTACTGCCCCTCACGTTTACACAGATCGCATCACACACAAAGAAACGCTCAGCATGCGGGATGAAGGAAGCACGCCACGGATCTGCACAGTCTGTGACAATCACAGAAACCACGCCGCCAAGGGCCAGCCGAACAGGCGGCCCGAGGCTGTCGAAAACAGCGAGCCGACACGCAGGTGGCTCGGAAAGACCCGTCCCCACAGTGTCCATGTGCACAAGCTCACACACACTGTCCGAGGGAATGACACGTGAGCGATTTTCAAAAGGTCCTCGTTATCCTACATTCCACAGGTTACAAAGCATCTCACCAATTAGTTATCTCAGGGTAACTGTAATGAAATAAACCCATCTGCAGTGGTAAGATTTTTAAAAATCCACATTAACATCTCATAACCATGCCAAGTTTTTGACATTTTTGCGTCACACCTCCATGTGGTAGGAGACTTGCTATCCATGGTTTGAGATTTCATAAATAAGAAAAAAAATTTAAAATAAACGGGGGGAAAATGGAAGGCACTAATCCGGGAGTAACAATGTTTTATCATTTTTTTCAAATAAAGAGCTTAAAAAACAGCAATAAGAAACTACTACTCATCATCACTATTCTTTCAATAAAAACACTTATTTTAACACTTAGAAAAGTAGGAAGGGCCTATGTTCAAAATAAGTAACAATTCTTTAAACAAACTTCGTTTCATACACACACAAAACCTGTCCTTTTTCCTCCCCAATCCCCTTACAAAAAGCCATGAGGCGGCTGGGGAACAGCTGTGCACTGGAAATGCCCTGAGGAGTGCAGGGCCTGGGGGGAGGGGGGGGACTATGAGTACACCCCCCCCCCCCACAGGTGCTCCCGGCCCCCGGCCCCCAGGCTCAGTCCTCCAGTGAAAACAGAATAATGACAGCTGGCTCGCCTAAAGCAGCTGGGGACTCAAACCTAACTTGTAAACGTGAGAAGTGTAACAGGCAAGGTATTTGTATTAAACATTTAGACCAAGCAGGTCACACTTATGGCACTTAGACAAATGAGTTTAGACAAAAAAAATAAATAAATAAATAAAAATCCAATCTAACAAATATTAAACAGATAGCGGATAGATATCATATATGCAATGTAGGAGCGTGTGAGCACACCTAAGCCTTTTCATATTTGTATTTATTTCCAGAAGCAAGCCTCTCTTAACGTCAAAGAAGTACTTACCGCTCATCTATTTCAAGAAACACACACCCTGGAGTGTGTGTTGTGGTGAAAATTCTTTTGTCCACCGGGATCCGAGGAGCTGGGAAAAGAGGGACTCACTCAAAGGCGAACATCTAGTTAGTCCTCCATTTAACGGGAAATCGCACTTAGGGGCTAGCCTCTGAGCAGCCAGAGCTCCGTTAGATGGCAACACTTTTCATTCTTACCGTATTTTCCGGCGTATAAGACGACCCCCTAATTTTACAGTTAAAACATAGGTTTAGGCCGAAACCGGTTTGGCTCAGTGGTAGAGCTATCGGTCTGCGGACTGAAAGGTCCCAGGTTCGATTCCGGTCAAGGGCATGTACATTGTTGCGGGCACATCCCCAGTAGGGGGTGTGCAAGAGGCAGCTGGTCGATGTTTTTCTCTCATCGACATTTCTAGCTCTCTATCCCTCTCTCCTCTTCTCTGTAAAAAATCAATAAAATATATTAAAAACAAACAAACAAAAAAAACATAGGTTTAGGCCTATGTTCGCTGTATAAGACTACCCCCCACTTCAAAGAAAAGACTTACTTTGCCGTCAAGATTTGCAGGTAATTTTTGTGCAATTTTGGTCTTTTGCCCCTGATTTTTGGTTGACTTTTTTTCGTTTCAAAAGTTGTCTTATACGCTGGAAAATACGGTATTTATATCTTCTTCTCTCTTTTAAAAATAATTTTAAAATTGATTTTAGAGGAAGGGAGAGAGGGAGAGGGAGAGGGAGAGGAAAAAGAGAGAGAGGGAGAAGGACAGACATCGATGTGAGAACCGTTGATCAGTTGCCTCCCACATGCACCCTGACTGTGGAACAAACCCAAAACCTGGTATGTGCTCTGACTGGGAATCGAACCTGCCACCTTTTGGTGTGTGGGAAAATGCTCCAAACAACTGAACTAGGGCATCATCTACGTTTTAACTAGGTCAAATGTCATGCCCACCAAAGTTAACTCAGACAGAGGCAGTCTGTGCACTGACCAGCTTGTCACTGCAGATAATCTACTTGTCGAGCTGGAGCACCTTCAGGTGCAGAAGCAAGCAGTTCAGGCCCCTTAGTGATATGTAACTCAGCTCCCAGGATGGACCACCAACAGGGCAGGAGCGGTTTACATCGGTGCAATAAAGCTGGTGTGGTCAGGTCAGCCATGGCTTGCTTTGAAAATGTAGCGGTTAACACATTAGAGAACCATCTGAGCAAAATGCTAATTCTGCATTTGCTTATGCATGATTTCATTTGCATAAAAACGGGAGGCAAATGCAGGAAATGTCCACTCTAACTGAACGGAGTCATTTAGGACACACACACATGCACACACCTGACACCCCCACCACCTCCTCCACGCAGTGTTATGGGGCACGCCTGCCAATCTGACGTCAGAACCTCAGACACCTTCCTCCACCCTCACAATCACCCCCACAGCCCTGCTACCAGTGAACTGTGGGGCTGTCCACACTGAGGAGCTGATGCACTATGGGTATTGTTGGTGCGTTCCTCTTTTTTTCACATTTAAAAACTTTTATTTTTCAATTACAGCTGACATTCCATATTACTTTATGTCAGCTTCAGGTATTCAGCACGGTGGTTAGACAATTATAATTTATGAAGTGACTCCCCCGTAATTCTCATACATGTTTTACTATATTCTCCAAGCTATACTTTACACACTCTGTATTTTGTAACCACCCATCGGTACTTCTTAATCCCATCACCTTTCCACCCAGTTTCCTCACCTCCCTTCCCACCTGTAACCCTCTATTTGTCCTCTGTATCTGTGAGTCTGTATCTGTAAGTCGTTTGTCCATCTGGTCCTTCAGGTTTCACATCTCAGTAAAATCACATGGTATCTGCCTTTATTTCACAGCACAATACCCTATAGGACCACCCATGTTGTGTAAATGGTAAAATTTCATTCCTTTAAATGGCTGATATGATCCAAAGTATGATGGAAGCAGGTGCGCCTGGGGGTGGGCCTTGCCGTGCACATGCTGCCCCAGCAGGGCTGAAGGGACTGGGCACTGCCATCTTGTGGCCATGGATGCTGCCATCTTTGAGGGCATGGCAGCAATTAGCATATTCCTTCCTTATTGGCTGTGGGTGCCACCATCTTTGTGAGAGCGTGATGGTCAATTAGCATATTCCCTCTTTATTAGATAGGATGTGCGGTTAAATTTTTGAGTGTTATGCCCCTAACTTCATTTTTCCCAGAAGCCCCGTGGCTCTCAATCTGTGTGAGTTTTCGGCACAGGACGGTCGTTTGCAGACATGCAGGTGCCCTGGTCCAGCAGGACTGACTGTAACGGAGCTGACTGTACTCACACGGAATGTAAGAATGCAGCTCTGCCAACAGGACATATAAGCACACTAAAGAGCTTATATTTACACATGGCAAACACTGGGGGTTTCAAACACTTTAAAAGCATAAAGCACCCTAGCTAGTGTGGCTCAATGGATAGAGCGTTGGCCTGCAGAGTGAAGGGTTCCAGGTTCGATTCTGGCCAAGGGCACATACCCGGGTTGTGGGCTTGGATCCCAGTGGGGATGTGCTGGAGGCAACTGATCAATGATTCTCGTCACTGATGTTTCTCTCTCTCTCTCTCTTCCTCTCCCTTCCTCTCTGAAATCAATAAAGAAATATATTTTAAAAAACAAATTAAAAATAAAAAGCACAAAACCATTCCTGTGACTGCACTGTGCTACAAGGCCGATGCTCCTATTTCACCAAGACAGCAGCACAGGCCATCGACTGCCAGCCGAGAGGAGGAGCGGGCCAGGCAGGTGGCAAGTCCCTGCGGGCCTCAGCCGCCCAGACATCCAGGGCAGTGAACCGGCTGCAGCGTGCAGGCCCAGTCCCCTCAGAGCGAACGGGCATGCCCAGGACTCCTGACTCACCTTCGTAGCCGGAGTGCATCTTCTCGGCCAGCATGAGGCAGCAGGGCTCTGGCTCCGGCTCTGACTGCGGCCTCTCAGAGCGCCGCACGTGAGTCAAATAGGGAGTCACCCGGAACGGGGCGTACTGCCCGCCGCCTCCGCTGCAAGAGCAGGGATGGGTCAGCGTGTGAAACGGCTGGGAAATGCCTCCCTGTCATTTCTAAGAGAGACACAGCCCAATCTAAATATTTAAATATATTTATTTTCCAAAGAAGAAAAATGTTCATTAAGATGTCAGTCCCCAAGGGCAAGACTAGCCATCGCTCTGCACACACAGGAGGTTTGTGGAGAGCTGGCTCGGATCCCTTGGAGTGTGGCATCGGCCCCAGGCACTGCATGCCTCTCCCCCGACCTCTGCACCTCAACTCCAGCCAGACTTCCTGCGCCCACTGTGGCGAGGGCTCTCCGTGCCAGCTACGTGCGGACGGCCCGACAGCCGTCTCCAGCCTGGGCCCCTCCCCTGAGCACCAGCCAGTGCCTCATCGATGTCACTGCACTTTATTGTGAAGGTAACAGTGACATGATGTAACACTGATATATCAGTGAATTTAGAGGAAAATAAATTCACTAAAATTCCTACGAGAAATCATTGAGTACAACTTTGGTCTGCTTTCCTCTTAAGTTTAATGTCTTTGGACCTTCTAAATCCTTGTCATAAATATACCAATCTTGCTTTCTTTCAAGTTATTAGAAATGTCAGAAGTTAATTTTAAATGTGACAAAACAACAGAAAGCACACAAAAGAGCCCTGACAGTGGTCATTTGAAAGGGTACCAGCCTGACCGGTGTGACTGTGGTTGCGCGTGGAACTATGAACCAGGAGGTCACGGGTCGATTCCTGGTTAGGGCACCTGTCCGGGTTGAGGGCTCGATCCCGTGTGTGTGGGGGGCATGCAGGGGCAGCCTACCAATGACTCTCTCTCATCACTGATGTTTCTCTCTCTCTCCCCCCCTCCCTTCCTCTCTGAAGTCAATAAAAGAAAAAAAGTAAGTGTCCTGAACCACCAGGGGTTCTTCCGCCCCCAGGCTAACCATGACCTTTCTCCCCGCTCCTCCTGCTGATCATCATCTACTCTCCTCATGGGGATGCTGCTCCCCTCAATCAGAAGACAAACTCCTGTGGCAAGACTTCTTCCACCGCAGGCCTTGACGTCATCTTCCACCACAGGCCTGGCGAACACAAAAGGACCGGAGCAGAGCCACGTCCACCCAGAGCGCAGGCACGGCCCGCAGCCCTCACTCACCGGATCCGGCAGAAAAAGGACTTCCTGGGAGCGAGGTCAAATCCGGACGCTGCTGGAGACAAAGACAGACGGTCACACACCGCAGAGTGACCGCAGAGCTGCTGTGCTCATGTCACACACAGACAAGAAACTCATCTTTAAGACGGGGCCCCGATGAAGATGGCCTGCCTCTCCCCCACTCCGAGATGCAGGGTTTTCCAAGGGCCTCGCTATTCCAACAGGAGCCCCGGGTGAGGCGTGAGCGTCCAGCTCAGTCTCTCCCCGACTCCTCCCACAGGTCCCCCTGTACTCCCTTCCATATCAGTGCAGTCATCCTCTGATCCCACCGTGTGGTGATGACATTCGATTCCACTGCCATCGCCTGGACATAGATGATATACAGACTCCCCTTCCCGTTCTTTCCTTGGACACCTTCCCCCACGCTGTGCTCCTCGGTTCGATGACGTGACCGTTTTATGACTCGGGTGCTGGGGGGCCCCCGGACAGTGTCGCTAACCACATTTCTCACTCCCCTCAGGGCAATGTGAGCGGCCACTGTGCTGAGTCTTGCACTGACTTTACTGCTCTGTGATGTGCTGACTCGGAAATGTTTCCATGTGCCTCTCAGGGCAGCCTTGGGGAGGGCCTTTTCCCAGGTGTTTACTGACTGTTTTTCCTCCGTCAGAACTCCCCAATGTGTCTTTTGGGCGCGTGTTCCCTGGAGGGAAAGTTTTTGGAGGGAAAGTCCTGAGGTCAGGAACCAAGGAGAAGGTTAAAAGTATGCACCGAAGGAGCACAAACTACGGTGTCCTGAAGAACCGAGTCCTGACTACGGTCCAGGTCTTCACACTTCCACGGAAAGAATCGCAGGAGGAGCCAGAAGACGGGCTCTGAGCGGCCAGGACGATGTATGTGAACAGAAAGACTCCGTGGAAGAGTCCAGAGACTGAAATACTTGAGTCCTGGTGCGGGCACAGGGAGACACTGGCTCCTGGCACACGCTAGGGGACCCTGGTTTTCGGAACACCGCGAAGCCCGTGGCCTCCGGGCTCACCAGGGACAGACTCAGTTTAAAGCGCCGTCAGGTTCCCAGCGTGAGCTCCTCCGCGCGGAGCAGCCCGCACCCAGACTGCAGGCGAACTTCCTGCGCCGCAGCCCCTCCCCGGGCTTCTCCGGGCACAGAGCGCCGACCAGGTGGTGGCACAGATGGGCCCCAGGCACCGGCGCACCTCGGTGTGGGTGCATTCACAGAGACCGTGGCAGTGCCTCGGGAGAGGTGGGCCCCAAGGGGAAGTCGAACCAGGCCCTACAGAGGCCGAGCCGACAGCAGTGGGGACACACGGGGACAGACAAACACACACACACACACACACACACACACACACACGGGATGTCCTATGATCTCCAAGGAAGAAACAGGCGGGAGGATCGCGGGCACAGCCCCACGAGGAGGCTGGGCCCGAGGTTTGCAGGCAGACGTGCACGGCGGGAGCACACTCCGCGGAGGGCCTCTCGGAGGAAGTAAGGGGCTAGGGCTGCAAGACGACAATTTCAGGCCACAGTCTGCTGCTACAGGCGGGGAAACCCGGGGCAAGAAGCTCACGAGGATGAGAAGGCTGGAGAGAGACGGCAGAGTCACAGGCGGAGAGGAAGGAACACACTGCCCATCCGCTCTGCTCCCGCCACCACTGCAGTGCCTGGACGGTGCCGCCCACAGGGTGCGGGCGGGTGCTTACGGAAGGAACAGAGACCAGTAAATGCAGAGGAGCACGAGGACAATGAAAGCCGACCACACGTGTGCAGGACAGAGGAAGAGGAAGAAATCCATGTTGTTGTGTGACGGCATCAGGAGGGAGCCAGGACGACAGGCGTGTGCTCTGGCGCTCAGAAAGTTTGTGCCTAAAAGAGGGGGTGATGGCCTGGACCAAGCTCTGGGTTAAACCAGAAAGGACCTGGGCTTCATTTGCAGGAGGCGGCTCAGAGTCGCCGCACAGCAGGTGAGTGCGCCGAGCGGGGCAGCGTGGGCAGCTCTGTGAGTTTTTCTACAACAAGAAGCTGGGATCACGGAGAAGGACGACCTTCACTGAGCTCCAGGAGGCCCTGCACAGAGCGGAGTGGAGGGGAGGCGACAGCAGCAACGGGGTTACAGACCACACAGGACCGACTCACAACGCACGGCACACAGGCCTCCAGCTCAGAAGGAGAAGCAATGAGAGCCAGGAACTGTTACGGACAAGGAAATGGGAGAAAGCTAACCATCTCCGAGCAAAGCTCACATGACGAAGCCCACGTCACAGGAAGAACATCCAATTCTATTCCCTTCACAGAAACAGCCTTTACAGCCAGGGGCCTGCTGGGCAGTGTGTGCCAATCAAGCCGTGCCATGCCTTACACTCTATGGAATCAGCCGGACTAGGGGAAAGCAAACGGACTGAGTCTTCATGTTCTTAGAAGCATTTAAAGTGTTATATTTCAACACAGGCTGCTTTTTAAAATAAGGAAGAGAAGCCGGTCCGTCTGCCTGTCCTGAATGGTGTGGGGGTTTCTGCGCTGCCTGGGGAGCAGGAACGTGACCCTGAGGAGATGGAGATGGGGTGGGGGTTGGGGGTGGGGGGCATGCACATACGGGCCCATTACCTCTGTGGGTCCAGCTGCTCCAGACGGGGAGCTGAGCCTGGGCGGTGTGCATGTGGAACATCCTCACGTCTTGTGGGGCGAGCAGCTCGGCGAAGTGCGAGGACTCCAGGGACTCCCTCCGCCGGCTCAGGACGGACGGCGCCTGCTCAGAGACGTGCAGCACCCGCCCCGACACGAGCGAAAACACGGCCGCGAAGGTGTCCTGTGAACACAGGGAAAACCATGCAAACATTGAGGTGCTTCCTAGCAACGTGCCCCGAAAGGTACCGCCCCTAGATTTCCACCGGGACCAGCTCAGGACACACACTTCCTGGCACGGCGACAGAGCTCCCGGCAGGTACGCTTCACCGGTCCCCGCAGAGCCTTCTGAGGGTCTGGTTTCTGGTCCGGGAACACAGCAGCTCCCTCTCCGTGGACTGAGTACGCCTCCACCGAGGCTGCACCGCCTGCGAGTCCTCCCCCTCTGCACACTGTGCCTGCCCCTGGAGCCTGTCTGCTCCTCACAGAGCCCAGCCCAGGCTTCCAGGCCAGGCTTAAGAGTCACCTCCACAAGGTCGCCTTTAAGCAGCCTGCTCATGTAAAAACTGCTCCTCGAATGTGTGACAACAGTCAGGCGTCTGACTGAGCTTAATTACCCACTGCTGCTGCTGGCCTGGCCTGTTTCCCCCTCTCGCTTAATGTAAAGCCCTGCAAGAGGAAATGTGTTCTTACACCCCCTTTTCTTACATCTCAACAGCACCTCCTATGTGCTATGAACACGTCAGTCAGTAATAGAAGTGCTACGGTGACATAGGGACAGCTAAGGTCCCGATACTAGAAGATCTTTTCATTAAAACTGTGTTGAGATCTCAACATAAAGGTAAGCAGCCTCCATCACATCAATAAAACATGCGGTAACATTATTCTGTCGACAGATTCAAAAGAGATATGCTAAATGTCTCTACCAACGTTCTATAAAAAATGACAGCACCCTCTTGACTCACCTGTGAAATCCAGTTGTTACAACTTGAAGGAGTAGGTATTGGAACTAAGAATGATATAAATAGAAATTAACGACTCAGAGATTAGAATACGACGCAGGATGTTACTCTGCAGTGCTCTCTGTCTTGGAGACTCAGGGATGCTAAGGGGACCGAAGCGAAGAAAAGCGCGCCTGCGCCGCTCCTGCCCGCAGACCTGTGCCCCCGTGAGGCCGGGGAAGCGACCAGGGCGCTGGGGCAGTTTCTCCTCCGGTGGTCACTGAGACTCTCGGTTACTCTGTTTAAATCTGTATCTAGATCAGGTTGTTAGGAAAAATTACCCAGGCTGAGATGGCAAAATGCGTGGATTCTTACTGTGTTTTTGGGAGTGTGCTCTGAAGCCATGGAGGCCAGCTCCTCAAGACTGGACATGGTCACATCTGCTTGAGGTGCTCCATGTGGACTGAGAATCTGGAAAAACTCACTGCTTGCTAAGAAACACAGGAAAAATAAATGGTAGTCCAGTGAACACAGCATCGCCAGGAAACCACTCCTACGACCAATAAAGCGGGCTTGTTTCTCAAGAGGACGCCTTCGTGTTTTCCTCCAAATTCACCCGAAATACTGGTCGCTGTGCAAACGTTAAGGCCTTGAGTGTTAGGAATCTTGCATGTTCTAGATCGCAAGGAACAGAACATTGAGGGTCCCAACGAGGGGACCGAACCCCAACATTCCAAATGCACACACAGGGCGCTGCTACGACAGAAGCGTTACTCTGGCCCTTGGGGCCATGAGTCACATGTCATGTATGAAGCAGACCCCGTGTCACGTATGAAGCCCCTGAGGTTGGCCTAGAGATGGTGTACTTTACGAAATCCCTCGAGAAGAGATGTCAGCGATCACAAGGAAAAAAAGTGTTTATAATTGCTCCTTGGCAATTTGGTAAATGCCTGGTCCGCCAGGAGTGCATTTTAAAAGTGTGCATAAGGCAGGGAGAGTGTAAAACTTGTATTTAGCCAAGTGTATTTCCGTCTTCATCTCCAGGGGAGGCCATGCTCCTTCAGAAAGCAAGCCTTCGCCACGTGCTTATGCTAAACTCGGCTCTCCTGGGGGAGCCAGCACAATACGGCATCAACGATGACTCAGATCGGGGTCTCCTCTTAGGAAAACCTGAGGCCCCCCTGGAAGTGCTCGTCTCCCCTCAAACACCACGAGAACCTCCGAAGGCTCCTGTGACCACGGCGGCGCCGACAGCGCCTGGCCTGGCCGCCCTTCCTCTCCGGCTCCGTACCTTGAACGCTGTGCACACAGCGGAGGGCATAGCGGAGGGCGTCCAGGGTGCTCGGTTTAGTGTGTTTGTCCGACGGGAGGTGCTTTTTCATTTCTTGGACAACCCTGGTCAGTTCTTCAGAGACTCTGTCTCGGTCTTGCTGTTCGCTGTAAGACCAACATAAACTCAGCGCTTTCCATTCCGGTGACAGCCAGACGGTTATTGGACAGCCCATTCCGTGCTAAGCATCTTTCTAAGAGCTTAGCAAGGATCAGACCCGCGTTCACCCGTGTTACAGGCGGGGGGACGGCAGCCACAGACCTGGGAACCTCCTTCCCACCCCGGCCTCCGCTCTGCAGACCTCCTGGCCTGACTTCTGTCCCTCTCCCTCCGGTCGCTTATACTTGCTCCCAGAGCATTTCCTTGGAGGATCCCTGAGTTCCCCCCTAAACTTGCTCCTAGGGCTTGGGCTTGCTCACAAAGTAAAAAGACCCAAACCCTCCCGTCCCTCTTCCCACACGCGGGCCAGGAAACACCCACCCACCAACCGGGGTGCCAGTGTCACCTGCGGCTGCTCTGCAGGTGTTTGCTCTGAGGCCGGTGTTTCTGGCTCCAGCTCTCCCCACAGCCTTTCCCCGGGGCCCGGGGTCCCGCCAGGCGCTCAGGGGCAGTCCCCCCGGAGCCCGGCGATCCAGTGCTGGCCATGCCTAGGTCTTCGCTAGCGTCCATCTTCCGCTCGGGGCCCGGACCTGTTGCTGCTTCTTCCCAGGGTGCCACCAGCGACAGGAATTCACTCTCACTCGGGCCCCTGTGCTCGCGTTAGAGGACCGATCCCGTCACCGGGAGGCACTGCCCTCTCCGCGTTCCCACACCACGTGGACGCCCCGCACGGAGCTCCGGCCTGGGGGGAGGAAAGTGGCCAATGTCACCTGCAACGGGCGGCTGGCCGCGGGCGGCCGGGCCCTGGCTCGCCGGCTGGAGCCCCGGCGGGGACCCTTGGCCCCGCGGCCAACGAGCCTGGCTCGTTCACCCGCTCGCCCCCCGCAGCCCCGCACGGTGGAGGGGACCCCGCGAGGCGGGCAACTTGAAGGACAAAGTTTCGGGGACCCCAAGTTCCCGGGCGGTGCTGCCGGGGACCGCGGCCCCGGCCTGAGGGCAGGCTCGTCCCAGCCCGCGGCCGGGCCCCGAATCACCCGCCGCCGCCGGCCTGGCCGCGCGCGACCGTGCAGTCCCGAGGCCCGCCGCGTGCCGTGCGCCCCAGGCGCCGCGCCCCCTCGCGCCACGTGACGAAGCCCCGCCCCCTGACTGCGCGATTGGCCGCCGCTGCGGGCTCTGCGGGCCCTCATTGGTCCAGGGGCGGGGCCGGGACTGGGGCGTCCAGGTTATGCAACCCGAGGCGAGTGGGCGGGGCCGAATGCCCCAGAGCGCCTTACGTCACGCGGTTGGGCGCAAGGCTGGCCAATCCCGGCGGGCTGGCGGGTAAACAAGGGGCGGAAGGCCCCGCCCCCCCAGGAAGGCAAGTGCAGGTAAAGGCTGTCTTTCAGGAAAGGGCGGTGAAGCCAGCTTTAAGGTCCCGAAGGCCCCTTTTATTTTTATTTTTTTTAAATATATTTTATTGATTTTCCGCAGAGAGGAAGGGAGAGGGATAGAGAGTTAGAAACATCGATGAAAGAGAAACATTAATCAGCTGCCTCCTGCACAGCCTTCACTGGGGATGTGCAGCAACCAGGGTACATGCCCCTGACCAGAACTGAACCCGGGACCCTTCAGTCCACAGGCCGACGCTCTACCCACTGAGCAACCGGTTTTGGCCGGAGGGGACACCCTCCCCCCCCCCCCCCCCCCTAGAATGAGCACCAGCTCCTCCGAAATGGCAGGCACTGTGCAGACCTGCACCCCTCACCAGGGCCTGGCCATCATAAATCTTCAGTGTTTGCTGGGTGAATGGAAGGCATTGTGCCAACTGTTCAAGTCATGGGTTGGATAAACCATCTTACTTTTCCAAGCGATGGCAGATCTCACGCGCCTCTGAAGCTCTTTCGTCAAACTGCATTCATGCAAATATTTATTGAATGCGTAGCTGGGAAGGGATGAGGGTGGCCCCTGGGTGGGGAGAGAGCTGGGCCACTCAGGGAGTCCACATTTTACTGACAGAAAGCATATGGACAACCCCATCAAGTTCCGAAGGTGGCGAGCACCGGGCAGAACGTGAAACAAGCCAATGGGATAAGGTGTCACTAGGACAGGCCTGTGGGGGAAGGAGGCAAGAGGCACATTAGCCAGGGGAGCCGGGAGGCCTCTCGGAGGTGAAATGGAAACCGGGTGTGTGAAGGGGGTGGGGAAGACCTTGCCACTGAGCAGGCTTGCAGGTGAGAAACCAAAGGCAGGATACTTTGCCTGGAGAACAGGGAGGGGGAGGGTGGTGCCAGTTGGGGTCAGAGGTTAGGAAGGCCAGGCTACAGTGGGACTTATCATCAGGGAAACTTGGATTTCTTTCTCACGGGAGTGGAAAGGGGCGGGTTTTAAGCAAGATAGGGATTAGTCTCAGGCTGCTGCACAGGGAATAGTTAAAAGCCAGGCGGCCTTGATTAGAAGTTAAGAGAGACATTTGGGGCCACAGAGCCTGTGGATGAAATGAGAAGACAGAGCATCAAGATGACTCCTGAGTCTGGTTTAAACAGAGCCATTTGTGATGGGACATCAGCTTAGCCCAGTGGTCAGCAAACTCATTAGTCAACAGAGCCAAATAAAACAGGACAACAATTGAAATTCCTTTCGAGAGCCACATTTTTTAAACTTACACTTCTTCTAATGCCACTTCTTCAAAATAGACACACCCAGGAGCAGCAGTTTGCCGACCACGGGCCTACCTGACAACTCGTACGGTAAGTGTAATGCACAGCTCAAGCATAACATGAAAACATAACTCTCAGTCTTCTATCAACAGTTACCATCCAGGACTTGCCCCTCTAAGCCGGTGGTCAGCAAACTGCGGCTCAAGAGCCACATGTGGCTCTTTGGCTCCTTGAGTGTGACTCTTCCACAAAATACCACGGATTGGGTGAGTCTATTTTGAAGAAGTAGCATTAGAGGAAGTTTACATTTAAAAATTTTGGCTCTCAAAAGAATTTTCAATCGTTGTACTGTTGATATTTGGCTCTGTTGACTAATGAGTTTGCCAACCACTGAATAGGCCATTGGATTTCTCAGCCATCCTCTGGGATGGACATTATTATTGGCTAGAGGCATGACGCACAAATTTGTGCACAGGTGGGGTCTGGCTGGCCCACCCTGATTGCAGCCAGACTGGCGGGGGGGACAGGGAGCACTGGAGGTCAACGGCTGGCCCTGCCCCCAATCAGGGTGGGGTGGGGCTGATTGGGCCCCAGTGCGTGTCAAAGCAACTGGTTGTTCTGGCATTCTGGTCACTTGGCTTTTATACATACACACACACACTAGAGGCACGATGCACAAAATTCATGCACTCGGAATGGGGGGTGTTCATCAGCCTGGACTGCACCTTCTCATAATCCAGGAGCCATCCAATATCCTTAGTGCTGCTGTGGATGCGGGAGAGGCTCCCACCACAGCTGCTGCGCTAGCCAGCCATGAGCCCGGCTTCTGCCTGAGCAGTGCTCCTCCTGTGGGAGCACACTGACCACCTGGGGGCAGCTCCTGCATTGAGCATCTGCACCCTGGTGGTCAGTGTGTGTCATAGTGACCAGTTGTTCTGCTGTTTGATCGATTTGCATATTAGCCTTTTATTATAGAGGATAATGTCTTATTATGGGCAAGGCCTCTAATTCAATTTTTTTTTTTTTAGGTAAAGGGAAGAACAGAATTTTCACTTGAGCCTGAAGCTAAAATTGCCCCTAGCTAAAAAATCTGTTACCACTGAGACACAACTTAGTGAGGCTCATTCTGAACCCCCACACTGTTCTATTATGTGTATAAGTATTGGGAACCATCTTATCTCTTTAGTGAAAGGAACCTTTTGTTATGTTACAATGAATAACTTTATCTCACGAGTTGTGTTTTGGCTTCAAGCCTGTATCCAGTATTCATGCAGCAACTTCAGCTCTTCTGTTCAATATTTACCTGGCATATCTTTTATTTTATTTTCCCTAAGTCTTTCTAGATTTTTATGTATTAGATAGTAATAGCCCATGGACACAGACAATAGTCTGGCAAAGGCCTGGAAGGAGCAGGTGCAGGGTGGAGATCAATGGGGAAAAACCAAACTAAAACAAAGGGACATCTGTAATACTCTCAACAATAAAGATACATTTTAAATAAAGGGAAATATCTTAGTTGAAGAGAGTTTTATGTGAAATAATATAATTGCTCTACATGGTACTTTATACTCCCAACTCCTCTCAGATATTAATTGACCCTATGTTCACTGACTGCAGGACTGGTTTCTTCCACACCGACCCAGCACTGACTGCCACGGGGGCTGCAATCAGACCCTGCTTTTCTCTCCGGGCCTGATCACAAGCCCCTCAGCAGTCAGTGCTGGGTCACTGAGGTGCCTGCAATGCAGGACTGACTGCAGGACTGACTTCCGGTGTTCAGTCGAGCCTGTGGTTATTTTGGATGTTACGGACCCTGGCTGTGTGTGTGTGTGTGTGTGTGTGTGTGTATATATAAAAAAAGAGGCAGGGGAAATACTTAATGCTGTTTGGTGCATATTGAGTCTGGGAGGCCTATGTCCAACAGGCCAGGAATCAGTAGATTAATGAGTAGAAATATGGGAACAGATGACTGGAGAATAAGTAGAATGGAAAGACAAGTTGGCTGAGGACCCTGATCCAAGGAACCCTGACATTTAAGGGAGGGACGTAAGAAAGAGGAGCCCATACATGATAGATTTTCCTTCAAAATCTTGAGAATGGCACCGAACGTTCATATAGATTTCATTGTAAGGAGGACCTGAAGAAAAGGCACAATCCTTTTCCAGGGCAACAGTATGTCAGACAAGGAAAGTAGTGCCCACCTGACCAAGGCATGAAAAAGTCAACCTCTTCTCTCCCCACAGGACTTTATAGACACTGACATTTTATGGTGAACATGTCTGCTTCCACCATGTTATACTGTTCTCTGGGGCTGCTGCTAAGAGACTGTTCCAGGGGAAAGAGAAGCAGAATGAGAACGGAACCATGTGTTTGGAAGTGTCCTCACCACCCACACAATGCCCCGTCCCCCGAAGGCAGCGGTCCGTCGGGCCACGAGGCCAGCTCTGCGCAGCACCTTTGGAAGGCCACATCCTGAAGAAATTGAGAAGCCAGATGAAGAGTTTGGTATTCTGAGAAGGCCAGCTCCCCACTCCTCTCCTGTACTGAAAGCACTTTGCACAGAGGTAGCCTGCGTCTGTTAACTAGCGGATGGGTGTTGGGAGCTAGCAGAGTTGAGGCAAGCAACTCAGTCTTAAGGAAATAGAATTAAGTTCCTTCTAGCAGAAGTTATGCGGTGCCCTGAGGGCTTGGCCAGAAGATAAGATTAACCTGGGACTTAGCATCTCCTGTCTTCCTGCCTCTTCCCCTTCCTGATCCTCCCCCATGGACACTGCCAGGGACCCCTCTGCATGGGCGGCCCTGCCCCCCTTTGTCTCTGCTGTATAAATACAGCCATTTCAGAGAATAAAATTGAGGCTTGATCAGAACCTTGTCTTGCCTCCATTCTTTCCGCGTTCCTTGTTTGATTCATTCTCTTAGGTGGTTCCTGCGTGCCCCCCGTTGTTGTCCCGCGGGATGGGATCTGCTGGGTAGCAGGAAGTTAGAGAACTCAGGGAGGGGTTGGTGTGCAGGGGTTTACAGGGAGAGGCAGGGCACAGCAAGGAATGCCGTTTTTAGGAATTGGACCGGGCACAGCTACTCCTCTAAAAGCAACACAGGCACCAGGATTATGTTATAAACACTTTATTGATGTCATTACAGTGGGCAAGTTCCCAGCTAAAGGCAGATACGAGCGAGGTATTCCTGGGTTAATGCAGGAGCCGATGGGTTAAATGGGACTGAACGTAAGGCCAGGGAGAGAGCACCAAGTTTCAATGTCAGACGCGGCCGGAGACCGGAGCCGGGGGGCTAACGTCCCTACACTGCCAGCTGCTTCCTTCTCACGGCTGGGCGTGATGCACCGTTTCCGTGCCTCGGGGGACAGACGGCACAGGAATGGCCCCCGTGTCACATGCTAGCACGCAAGCTCCCGGGACAGCAGGCGGAGTGTAAACCTGCTTCTCCCTCCGTGCCTCCTTGCCTGTCTTCACTCATACCTGACTTCCGCCCTGAGCCACACAGCCTGACGCCGAGAGTCTCAACAAAACCTCTCAGATGCAACAGCTCTTCCAGAGCAGCGTCCTGTGCAGACAGTCTGTGTCTCCGGTCAGCCGCCGGGGAGAAGTCAGCACCCTGACCAATGCTAACTGAAAGCAGAATGCAGGAGACAGAGTGAGGAAGTGGAATACGAATAGAAATAGAAACGAACTCCAAAAGGCTACAGTCTGTGAGGCCTGGGCCAAACAATGACCAGTTCACAGATGGTCTTCCTTGAAGGCGACAACGCTGTCCCTCACATAATTCTCAGAAACACACGGAGCCCCCGGCTGTACTCCCATCTGTCTCTGGGGGGAGGTGGTCAGGGTCCAGCTGGAACAGTCTCTGACCCCAGGAAACACGCTAGCTAGGAAGGGGAGTGTGACACCTGCAGGGTTTAAGGCAAGAAAGGCCTGCCAGGGTGCAGAAGCTTCACACGCGATGTTACAACTTGAATTCTGACGCGCGCCTGGGGTTCCGTTTGTCACCTGCTAGAATTTATCTGTCAGGAGCAGAATCCGGGGCATTTTACTTTTTGGCAAAAGAGGAACTTTGGTCAGAGCCACAGTTCTATCAAAATGTTTCAAAGAGGTAAGTTACTTCTGATTAAAATATTTTAAAAATATGATACAAAACAATAACAAGTAAACATCTTCGTATCTAATGTAAGAAAAACATTTTTGACCAGCATCTTACTTTAAACACAGCGAGAGCGTCAGCAGTGCTTACAGACAGTGGCGGGTTCTCTCCTAAGGAACCGGAACAGGAGCAAAATAAGGCACAACCTGTGTCGTCACAGATTTGAGGGAGACTGTAGTGTTCTCTCTGGAAGGCACAGACGGGCTATCTGATTACCCAAAGGTTTAAACGTGGTTCTGAAGAGAAGGTCACGTGACGAGGACAGCTAACTGGGAAGAAAGTTCCCTAACTGGGACTGAAGGCGATTACTCAGACAACACTATGCTGGGTTATGCACTCTGCAAGCCAGAAGGCTTCCTCAGCCCGGGGTAAAGTGTGAAGTGGGAAAGGCACTGTGCAAAACGCGGCCGGGCTGACCACGCTTCTAGTGTGGAGTGCATGTTAGAAGAAAAAAAAAAGGCACATTTCCTAAGAATCGAAGTTGACATTAAGGAGCAGAGGACAATCATGGTAATGACAGTTTGTAAGCGTGATAGATAGCAGGCTCTGTGTCCACGTCTCGCGAGGCTTCCAGAAGAGCAGCTGGCGGCTCCCGGCTCCTCACGAGGACACGCTCCACACTGAGCACAGGGAGGGGGAGCAAGGAGACACAGTTAGCTTCCCGTGCACCCACACCCAATCCGCACCCCGTCCCCGGTGGGCGGAGGGCGCTGCCTGCTCCTCCCGGGGCTGAGCTGCGTTCTGTGGAGGCCAGACCAGACTGTCTGGAGGACTTGAAGATGTGTGTGTGCTGGCTAAAATGGCCGAGGGTTCCAAAACTATCAGTCTCATAGCGCTAACAGTACTGGTGGGAGTGTATTTATTTATTTATGAAACTATTATTATTACCATGTGCCACGTAACACCCTAAGCACTTTTATATATGAAGCAGTTTTGGCCTCATGACAAACATATGAGGTAGGTACCCTTGTTATCCCATGTTACAAATGAGGAAACTCAAGTTCAGGAATAGGAAAACACTAACAAAGCCACATAGTGGGATGGTGGGAGCTAGGCTGGCCCGTGCCTGTCACTGCTGGACCACACTGCTGCTCACAAAGGAAATGTGATGGAAACAGATTCAGGGAGAAAATGGATGGGCCAGTGGGAATAAGTAAATGCATTTTCTCCATATTGATGTTTACCTAAAAAACCTCAGACTTCAATCAGACAACCCCCGTGTTGGAGACGTCTCCTGAAGGGAACGAGGCTCTGGACTGATCTAGCCTGGACGTGAAGCCCGAGTTCCACTGCGCGGAGGACAGACTCACCGATGATGATGATGATGATGAGGACCACCACGGCGACCCCTATGGCCCACATCTGCAACGAAACACGCCCGGGCCTCACTCCAGGTCACATTCCCAAAGAAAGAGGGCCTGACCCAAGGGTGTCACCTGTCACCCAGTCACTGAAAGGCCGTCAGGTGCAGCCCAGTCTGGGAGAACGCAGTTTTAAAGCCCGAATGTGATGCTCTCCATCAGACCTGCAGGCGACTATCTGCTTCTCGTAAGCTCTCCACATGGGCTGGGCCCTCAGCAGCACTGTCTGTGCATGTGAGTCCCCACGTCGGGAGGGGCCCCTGGGCACAGAACGTATGGGGAAGTGCCACTTCCACGCCGGGGGAGGGCAGGACTCAGAGGGATCTGGTGGCCCACATGCCCGCATGACAGGGAGTGCGTCTCTGCCGGGGAGGGAGTGAGTCTCTGACGGGGAGCGAGTCTCTGACAGGGAACGCTCTGACGGGGAGTGCCCCTCTGACGGGGAGTGATCTTGTCTCTGACAGGGAGCGCGTCTCTGACAGGGAGTGTATCTCTGCGGGGAGTGTGTCTCTGATGGGGAGTGCACCTCTGATGGGGAGCGTGCCTCTGACGGAGAGCGTGTCTGTGACAGTCACGTAAGACCCGCAGAGGCCCTGCTCCTGGGGACGCTGCTCTCAGAGCAGCTTTCCCTCAGCACGGGAGCCACTCCAGCACCACCCGCAGGCGCACAACCGCCACCCTCTCCCGCAGCCTGTGAGCAGGCTCCGCTGGGGGCGGGCTGGAAGGCTCATGTCTGGGATGGGTTTGGGCACTCCTACAGGCTGCTGCTGGGTTTTTTAAACTTTGTGTGGTCCACATGCTTCCTAAAGTCAGCACAGAACGGGAGGTCTCCCCGTGGGGACAGAAAAGGGGGTACAGTCAGTGTTTTAGATTCAGTCACCCACATTTCCACGGGGCGTCACACTCACCCCCAAGGTCTAGGCAAGCCCCGGTCTGTTGGCTCAGTCAGCCGGGATGCAGAGGGGCCTCGCGTAGAGAGGAAGGGGGGACTGACCTTGCAGTTCTTCCACCAGTACTTCCTCTTCAGCTTCGCGGCGCTTGTCTCAAACTGGGAAGCTCCGGCCTGCAGGGCGTCCGCGCGGTCGTCCAGCTCGGAGAGCTTCTGGTCTCTCTCCAGCACCTTGTCCACATTCACCCGCATGATGTCCACCACCTGGTGCGCGAGACCCAGCAGGTCACACAAGAAATGGAGGGACAGGACAGCACCTTGCTATTTGAGCCAAACTTCCATTCAAAGGGGGGCCAGGCCTCACCATCCCATGAAATAAACACTCAGTAAAGTGGGACTAGAAGGGAACTTCCTTAACGTAATAAAGGATGTTCTTGGGAAAAACCCCACAAGTAACATCCATGCTCAATGGACAAAAACAAATAAAAAACCTGGCGGCTGGCTCAGCTGACTGGAGTGTCGTCCTGTCCCACACACTAAAAGGCTCCTGGTTCTATCCTGTCCAGGGCATGTACGAGAGAAATTAATGTTTCTCTCTCACATAGATGTTTCTCTCCCTTCCTCTCTCTCTCCCAAGTCAATAAACATATCTTTGGGTGAGGATAAAACAAACAAACAAACAAACAAACAGGAAGCTTTCCCCCTAAAATCAGGGAACAAGACACGGATGCCCACATTCTTTACTGCTGTTCAACATTGTACTGGAAGTTCTGGCCAGAGCAACTGGGCAAGAAAAAGAAACAAAAGGCATCCAAATTAAAAAGGAAGAAAGAAATGATCCATATTTACAGATGATCCATATGTAGAAAATCCCAAAGAATCCATAACAGGGTTATTAATAAACAAATGCAGTAAAGTTTCAGGGTACAATATCAGCATCCATAAACCAGTGTTTCCATACATAACAATCAAACGGAAATTAGTAGAGACAATTCTGTATACAATAGCATCCAAAAGAATAAAATACTCAAGGATAAGCTGACCCAGCATGCAAACACTTGGACTGAAAACTATAAAACACAGCTGAAAGTGGGAAGACATCCTGCGTTCATGGGCTGGAAGACTTACTATTGTTAAGAGGACAGTACTTGCCAAAATGATGTACTTATGTGCAGAGTCATCACAATCTCAACTGAAATAAAAATTTCAATGGTCTTGGCCCTGTTTAGGTAGCTCAGTTTGTTAGAGCATGATCCAGATACACCAAGGTTGTGGGTTTGATTCCCAGTCAAGGTACATACAGGAAACAATGAATGCATGAATAAATAGAATGACCAGTTGATGTATCTCTCTCTCACTCCCTTTCCTTTTCTCTCTAAAAGCCAATAAATTCAATAAAAAGGCAATGGGCTGAAATAGACATTTCTACAAAGAATATATACAGATTGTCAACAAACACCTGATAAGTTCAACAACATTGGTCATTAAGGAACTGCAAATCCAAGCCACAAGGAGATACTATTTCATACTTACTAGGATGTCTATAACAACAACAACAACAACAAAAAAGGCAAATAACAAGTGTTGGTGAGGATGTGAGAAAGAGGGACCCCTGGCTATTGCTGGTGTCCATCTGAAACGATGCTGCCACTGTGGCAACGCTTGGCTAGACCTCAACGCTAATCATAGAACTACTATATGACCCAGCGACTCCATTCCGAGATACATACCCAAGGGAAATGAAAACACATGCACACACAGAAACTTGTATGCAAATGTCTTTAGCAGCATTACTGGTAAAGCCAAAAGGTGAACAACTAAGTGAATGGATAAACAAGGGACACACATGCAATGGAATATTACTCAGCCACAAAAAGGAGCAAGGTTCTGAGAGTTGTTACAAGTTGGATCAGCACCAAAAATATCATACTAAGTGAAAGGAGCCAGACACAAGAGGCCACACAGTGTGATTCCTTTCATACGATATACAGAGGAGGAGAAAATCCACAGAAACAGGAAGCCAGTGAGAGTGGGAGAAACAGCAGAAAGAGGGAACAGGAGTAATTACTATAATAAATGTGTACGAGGTGTTCTGTGGTGATGACAAAATTGTGAAACAGACAGAAGTAATGGTTGCATAACTCTGAGACTATCACAAAGAATCACTGAGTGGTGCTTTAAAATGGTTAATTTTGTTGTGTAAATTTCACCCGAGTTAAAAACACAAACAACTCTCCTTAAAATTTCTTTGGTTGAGAAAAAGGACCCAATATGATTTTGTAAGTAAATAAAGTTCCATGCAAGATGCAATTAGATTGGGTTTCTTAGCATGAAAATATACATTTTTTATATTTCATAAAGCCTTCATCTACCTAATAAAAGAGTAACATTCTAATTGACCTTATCTTCACGACACCCACCAATCAGAAATATGCAAATCAACCCAACAAAGATGGCGGGTTAATTTGCATACCCAGGTGCTGAGTGGAAGGGGCGGGCAAGATGCTTGGTCGCTGCCATGGCGAGGACCATGCGTTCTGCACCACCCCAGCCACTCCGGACCTCTGGGCAGCGTGGGAAGGCGGAAAGGCAACTCGAGCCAGAGCGAAGGCGCTGCTGGCCGCCAGGGGAAGGAAAGAATATTCTTGCCTCTAAGTATGAAAATGTTACCATATGCTTTAGCAATCCACTGTTAAGCCTAGTTTAACAGAAGTTTTACTTTTATATTTTTCTCACATTTATTGGGGTGAATTGGTTAATAAGATCATGCAAGTTTTAAGTGGACATTTCTATGATACATGATCTGTATGTGGCACTGCATGCCCACCACATCTTCCATCACCACGTATGTGGCCCCTGCCTAATTTAACAGAAGTTGAACACCGCTTTCTAAGGCAGCTACATGCAGAAAGACCATGATAGCCTTGTTGGACAATGATGGCTTTTAGGGACATGGAAATAGTAGTTTGAATTTGCCAACCTTCCCTTTTGGGTCTGCAAACAGGGCAGAACGAAGATGCTGTGAGCACCCTCTAACTCAAGAATTCCACAAATGCAGATTTGCTGGGCTAGAGCAACTTGCCAGCATCTGCTTTCTGTATGTCAATGGGCAACAAGTGGAGCTAACCCCAGAGGCCTGCTCAGGCTGAGTAATAGAAGTCAGGTTATGGGCGCAGCATTTTGATGACAATCTGGTCAGAAGGGTTGGTCTTGCTTGAACAACCTATAGATCTAATTCTGAATATTCAATTACCCTATTTTATAAAGTAGTTGTCTTTCTTCCAATTTTTTTTTTCTTTTTAGTGGCAAAATATACATTATAAAGCAGTTCTCAGAGGAATGCCTCACGGAGAGGGATCTGCTTTTCAGGATGTGACCTGGTCACAGAAAAACAAGCAGGAACCAGGAGAATCTGACTTCTGCTTCGATCAGGGCTTCCTGATCGGCAAAATTTCGTTACTTTTATGATGCAGTCAAAAGCCACTTTACAGTCACACTCCTGTGACACTCTTTCTAAAGTGTGTTCCCATGTTGGTTTACAATTCATCTTTGCAGCATTTCAGGGCAGTACCTCGTCCACTTGGTTCTGTGTCTGCTGAAGCTTCCGGTTACTGCCGGAGGCAGTGGGACCTGCAGGCGCACCTGTGGACCTGAAACACACAAAGGCACGAGCGTCAGCCATAGAGCATTCCACATACATTTTTGAGTCATTCCAGGAACTTCGGAACTAAAGCAGAAAATGAATAATGAACAACGGTTCTAATGACGTTTCTTCTAGCTCCTCTGGAGTTTCCAACATTCACCCACACGTTCAGAGTGACCAGGGTCTAAGGAGAGGTTTAATAGAATCTGCTTTGTATCACCGAGGAACCTGGTCCTCAGATGGATAAACTCTACTTCCTGGTTTTTCTAGTTTTTTCAAGCCACACATCTACTTGAAGGCACTCGGTATCCCTTGGAGAGTCACAGAGTGCCTTTTTCCCAGGATGGTAAATACAGGCCTTCACAGACACAGGAAGACAATGCCCCTCTCTTAACCGTCTCATCAAATGCCTTCTTTCGCCCCAGGCAGAACTTCCCTGACCACACTGGGTTTGAAGACCTTCCTGTTTCCAATACTTGGTTGGTAGCCCTTTGATTGGATTGGATATATATAAAAATGGATCCTAAGAGATCACAGGCCCAAGTCCAGAGGGGCCCTCCCTCTTCCTAAGACAGCGCCCAGCAGGTGTCTTGCGTACATCAGCCACTGATGCACTGAGCCTCGCCCACAGGCAGTGTCTCCCAGGCGTCAGAGGCAGCAGCCTCCACTCTGCCTCCGCAGTCAGTGTCCGACTGGCACTGGTCGAGGGCCACGTACTGGTGCGTTTCCTCGTTTAGTCCTAACTCGGTGAGGGGAATACTACGGTTATCCCCATTTTATAGACGACTAAGGTGAGGTCTGCATAGCTGGCTGCTGTTTATTTAGGCCAGGTGCTGGGTAATTCCACGGACCTAGATCTTAATCACCGGATCCACTGGCCCAGCGGCCTCGGCAGCCACACTCCAGAGGGGGGCCCCCAGTTCCTAGAAGGACCCCCCCCCCCCAAGTTCCTAGAAAGAACCCGGGAAAGAATGCGTCCCCTTCTCTCTCGGTGAGCCAGGAGCAGGCTGCAGAGGGAACGGGGGTTCGGTGCTGAATGTTGCCCCGGGAGAGTCCCACGGGCAAGGACCGCGACAGGACCAAGTCCCGGAGCCGCCTTCCGGAGTGCACTCCGACCCCGGGCGCCTGGAGACGGGACAGAGCCTTCCTGCAACTTCCGGCGCCCAGCCCAGCGGCGGCCAGCAGAGACCACCGCCCCTGGGGGGACCCCGGAGGTGGAGAAGGGAGGTTAGAGGAGGGTACGGGGGCGGGAAGGGCACTCCTAATGTGGAAAGCCCCCGGCCCCGCCCTGGTCCCTTCCGGGTCCACCCCCCTCCCCACGAAAGCCGCTGGGCCCTCCGGGGCGGTCGGCGGCGCCGCGGGGTGGTTCCGCCCGCCTGCAGCCCGCACTCCCGAGGCCGCCGCCCCACCCAGGCCTCGGAAGCCCCGCACAGGCTCGCACGGCCTCGGCCGGAGTCCGAAAGGCTGCCCCCGGGACCCGGGCCGGGCGGGGCTCCCAGTCTCGCGGGCCGCCGCCCCCCGGGGCCCGAAGCCGTCCAGCTCGCAAGGCGTCACTCACATTTTGGCGGCGGTGGCGGCGGGCGAGTGTCGACGGGGCGGCGGAGCTGGACCGGAGGCCGGGACCTGGGCGGAGCGGTGGCGGCGCGGGGGCCGATGACGTCACAGGGCGGGGCCGGATGGGCGGCGGGCGCGCAGGCCGCGGTGGGCGTGTCTCTTAGGGGGCGGAGCCGGATAGGCGGGCGGGGCGCGCAGGCCGCGGTGGGCGTGTCGGAGAGGGCGGGGCCTGATAGGCGGACAGGGTACGCAGGCCGCGGTGGGCGTGTCGGAGTGGGCGGGTCCGGATAGGCGGACGGGTACGCAGGCCGCGGTGGGCGTGTCGGAGGGGGCGGGGCCGGATAGGCGGACGGGAGCGCAGGCCGCGGTGGGCGTGCCGGGGGCGGGGCGGTGGGGGCGGGGCCACGCCAGGCGCTGGGTTGGTGCTGAGGGCCGGCGTCTGCCCAGGAGCGCGGGTGGGTTAAGGACCGCTCCTGTCCCAGGCGCCCGCCGCCCGCGCGGACGCTGGGGGCCGTGGTGCATGAGGCACAGGAGAGGGACTGCAGGCCAGCCAGGGTGGGCCGCTTCTCGGGCGGTGATTACATTGGAGACATCTGTGTGTTCCTGCTCAATTCCCCACATGAAACTAGTACCTAGCCCCGCAGACCCCACATTTTCCCAACAAACCTGTTAAAATGAGATGTGCGTCCATTTGGGGCATTTATCAGACATTGATTGGTTTGGGTTCACTGTCTTCGTATTCGAGCCACGAATAAATATTTGTCATTGCACATAGGAACTGTAGTTTCTACACTTGCATATTCCTGGGCCCCCAAGCACAGAGTAGGTCTCCAACTTCTGATCCTATGGAGGCGGAGGCACGTAGCTGAATGCAGAGGGTTACTTTGCAGTGCTTTCAGGTTGTATTAAAGTATTTCTACCAACATAGGCACCTCCTACCTCAAAAACAGAACACTAATAGGTCATCTGGCAAGTTAGATGAGACACGGAAAATAAATACTAACCTGCCTTTTCCAACTGTCAATGGAACAATTTGAAAAGTGAAATGTTAGTATACATTAAACAAGACAGTGTCACAGAGGAGGTGGGATTTGAGACTTTCCAGGCAAGAGATGGACAAAGACCAGGAACCAAGAAAACAGTGGAAATGGCACAGACCAACCAGAGGGTGCAGGCTGGGACACAGGTGAAATAAGATGGAATGGAGACTGGATAGACACGGAAAAGGTCCTTTAAATGTGGTGGGCTACAGAAACCATCGAGGCCTCAGGCAGAGTGTGCAGTCTGTATGGCAGTGGCGTTGCGATGGATGAGATGGGGAGGGACTACCGGAGAGGTGAGGCTCTGGAACAGGAGTCAGCTGAACAGTGCCATTTAACACATGTCTGAGGGTTTTAATGGAAAAGGCGAATTTATTTATCTTTATATTTTTTATTTCAGAGAGGGAGATGGAGAGATGGAAACATAAACGATGGGGATCATTCATCAGCTGCCTCCTGCCCCCACTGGAGATTGTGCCCTGACCGGGAATCCATGCCCTCCTGGTTCATGGGTCAGGCCTGAAAAGGTAAATGTAGACTGGTGTCTTTATCATTCAAATAAAGCAAATGATACAAGGAGAGGTGCCCAAGAAGATGGTTGAAAGTGTTCTACTAGAAACAGTGAATTTACTAAGAAATTTTCCCCATCATGGACATAAAACATTCAGCATAAAACATTAAACATCAAAACGTCACATCTGGATCTAAGGAAGTCCTTGCAGTTACTTCATGTGGTTTGAAACATGCCCGTCCAGCTTGGATGGTAGTACCAGGTCAAGTGAAAGCAACACAACACACATAATATGGGGAAATTTTCTTCATTTTTAATTTACAGCAGAAAGAATATAAAGCATTCAGAAAACATTTTCCATAGTTTAAGGGCAATTCAAAACATTTTGCATGGTTTCCAGCAGCTGAGTTCCTCAACAGACCCATTGATTCAATGATGCTTTACATGCACAATTACAAAAATAAAACTTACAAAAAAGGAGACATCTAGACTAGTTTTACATGCAAGTCTCAGGGACCCCCCGTTGGGCGCCAACTACTGTGTGGAACTGCCATAAGCGACCGTGCAGCCAGAAAGGGGTTCGAGTTAGTGTCTTTGTTTCGTTCACACAGTACAGCTGATTTCAAATGGGTAACAAGAATAGCAATGAAATCTTCAGGAGACAGAATAAGATTAGCTATTTTTTTTTTTTTTAATATATAATGAAATCCTACTCCTGGCACTTGGGAATTCAGATTATCCAAGAAAGCTGCGCTTATCTATCATCTTCTATTCAAAATGAAGATTCATAACCAAGGAAAAGGGGGTCAGAAGTGCTTCGTATCGGCGGGAGTGTGTCGGCACCTCCCCTAGGATTCACAGTTTGTACTGCTGCTTCCTGTCCCCTCCACGAGAACCCTCCCAGTTCTCCCTCCGTCTTTCTCTTCCCGAACCGTCTAACTCACTCAGCGAGTAATGTAGCATGTGGAACACCAACACAATAGAATGAGTGTGAGGGTTAAAAAGCAAACCCACTGAGGTCATTACTCTTGTCAAAAGATCAGGTTTGTTGTTGTTTTTTGTACCAGAATAAATGGAATAAACATCTAGATTCGGCATTTAAGATAGGATATTCTGAGAGAGCTGGCTTTCACGTTCTATTCCCATTTAGGAATGCAGGTGTGTGTGTGGGTGTGTGAATGACTGTGTCCTCCTGTAGGTTAAAACTGTGTAAAATAAAAGGGGTTGTGGGGGTGAGGGTGGGACTGCAACAGCTGTAACATAACCCACACATTGAAAAGAACAAAACTGAGTCAGCTCAGTTTACAAATGTACAGGTGGCGACTAGCCGTGGGGCTGCCACTGTGGTCGAAGCTGATCACAAGCAGTAAGACGTATACTGTACAGTAATTTGAGGTTGGCAGTGAAAGGAAGTAATTAAAAAACAAGTACAATTATAGAAAAGGCACCAAGAGCACTGACCCCAGTTTTTAACCTCGGTCCTGTTGTGTCTACCTTCCTTCTGAAAAGACACCAGTTTAAAAGCTTATTTGTGAATATTTTTAGGCTTCACAACGAGCCTCGAGTTGTAACTTACAGTTGGCAGCCAGAACCAAGACAACAAAACAAAAAAACACAAAAAAACAACAACGCACGACTATGTCAGCTCGACACCAACTGGTCCTGAAACGTAACCTGGGAATTTTTAAACTGGCGTCGGCAGATGTGAACTTGATTCTCCTGGATTGGACGTTGGTACTGAAATGTTTAAAAGCATCCGATTTCTTTGGCTCCTCGTTCTGTGAAAATAGTCATATGCCGTGACATCCCTACAGGACCAGTCTGCATCTTTTAAGGTTTTAGCTATTTCTTTTGTGTGCAATTCTTTTTATTACATTTTCTGATTTCCAGCAGGAGATATGAAAATGTGAGACATTTTTTTTTCTACCTTTCGGACTATTTCTTTTGTCAGGGTTTGGTCGTCCTAGGTGTTCTTTGTTGGAGCGAGTGGATGGTAGTAAGCTGTTTGCGGATTCATCTTATGATTATCTGTTTAGCAAAAGGAACTTAATTTTCTTAAGCAATATTAGCATTCACATTACTTGGCACCATTGGCAAATTTTTTTTAAATAAAATAAAATAAACTCCTGATAGCCAAAATTAAATGTAAACATATCCTTTTTTTAAGTAATGTTACTCTGCCTTTTCTCCTAAGTCTAAATACAGTAGCTCTTTTTTTAAAATTTTTTGCAGTTTAGTCATGCTTTAGCAAAATGTTCTTCTAAAGAACATTTAAAATAAAGTACTCTTATAGTGAAATAAAGTTTTTTTTGTTTCATTTTACAGACCATAGCCACTAATGCTTTGCTTTTGTTCATTTCTTTTTTCTTGATTTCATGCACATATCTCTTTTGTTTTAATATATACAGTATATACAAACAATACATCCACATTTTTCTTGCTCATTCAGACAAAACTATACAAATAATTTTATCTTGCCATGTTATTGACCTTTGTGAATAAAATATTTAGCAATTAATATAATCCCTTTCAAGTATTTCTCACTTTCCATCTCTACCTTCTATATATACACAGAAACTGCTCCGTTTGGATGAGATATAGCCAAAAATATGGAATTTACTGGCCAGAACGCAGCACCACACTGATCTTTTAGGTGGCAAATGTCCAGGCAAGGTTTATGATTCCTCGGAGTGACTACACTTCCCAGGGTTACCGGAGAAAGCTACATGCTTTACCGATTCTCTGAGTAACCCTCATTGCACATGAAAGTAAGGCAAAAAAATTAAAGTGCTGAACATGAGAGGAGGGATGCGATGATTCCGCGCAGGTTCTTGGGAGGGGGTGGGGACAAGAAAACAACTCTTGACGCCGGAAGCGGTTTCTCCTTATTTCCCATGCATTACCCGTTTGCCACGCCCGCCCCTCTGCAAATTTCCACAAGACATTAAAAACCTGCAGATTTTTTAAAAGTTGCATTAAGTGTGCTGTAGAGGTCAAAACAAGAACAAACATAACAGTGAAGGAAATGAGAACGCACGGACGCAATCGAGATTGGGATGACCGAAGCCCTCCGCCGACAACGAATCCCGAAGAGTCAGCTTCTCGGAAGGAACTGGCAGGTGCGGGAACAGCGTTCTCTCGTTGCCAGTGCATCCCACCGCCTCTCCCCTATATTTTTTGGTATAAATATTTGTACAGTTTCCACGCGATGTTTGAGTACAGCCCTATGTGAGCGGGAAAGCGGCTGCTTCCCCAGAGGGAGCCTCTCCCTTCCTCGCGGCGTCTGGTTTTCCCGCGATCCGACAGAAGATTTGAGTTCCATGATGTCTTGCTGATCAAATTAAAAGTTGTCCATGAAAGTGCAAATGCAATGAACAAAACATTCCTGTTAAAATCCTGCAGCTGATCTCTCCAAAACTGCAGAGGGATTGTGTGTGTGTGTGTGTGCGTGTGTGTGTGAGTGCATGTATGTATGTGTGTGTGTGTGTGCGCGAGCTTGTGTGTTGTTGCATGTCTCTGCTAAAAACAGAAATGAAAACAGTCTGAAAAGCAATGTCACATTGCTAAGGGATGCTGCTGTGTGTCT